CAAAGTCTACCATTAATCACAGTGAGCGGGGACGCATTTGTAACAGTTCGGACTTTTGAAGGAAAAAGAAAGAAGAAAATTATATAAAAGAAAAAAAGGATTATTTTTTATTTTGGTAAAGAAGTATAAGAAATGTTTTTAATTCATTAAGAATTATATTTGTTTAATGTTTATATAAAAATGGTGAAATTCGAAAACTAAAACCTTTTTTTTGTGTGTATTATTATCAAACACAAAACCAAGTGGAAGAAAATAAAAAGGAAACAAACAGAATATAATAAAAATTCCTATGGTAATAATGCACATAATTAAACCGGGAATTGGTGGGGCTTGACAAAATGTGGTATCCTCAAGTGTGTGGAATATGATGAGAGGTTAGGGGACACGTGTCAAAGATCGACGGGAATGTGTCATCCAAACTTGTGATTAGATTCTAGTTTCCTTGCGGGGAGTAGGAAGTGATGATCTTTCCTTAATACCTACACAGTTTGTCTCTTTAGTAGAAACCCCTTTTCACCCTGTATGAACTACTCACATATTAACGATAACAAAATAAATTTATTAGGCATTCTAATTTTAAGTAACTATGAGTTATATTTTTTCAGAAAGTTAAAAACTATTCTACTTTTTTTAATGACATTTTTGGTAATATTTAACTTTATAGATATATTTTCTTTGAAGTAGTGGATAACAAAACTATTTTAACTGAAGTTTTCTATTTTCAGTTGTTTAAATTTAACTCTGAAAAGTGATATTAATAAAATCTTAAGTACCATATACAGAAAGGGAGGTTTGTGATGAATGCAAAATCATTACCATATGAATATGCCGTTGATAAAGTTTCAATTACTATTAGCCAAATTCTAAACTGTTTTGAGCAATAGTTTTTTATGCTTTCATAGGTAATTTTTCCTTCAGAATCAATTATGGGGTTGGCCATAGACGCCATTGGAAAATATCTTTCCTTTCAATAATGTGTGAAATTAATATACTAATATTGTGGTATATAAACCCTAAGATTGGATGACGTGGCAAATTTACACAAATTGTACTGATAAACTGATCAACATTCTGGAACAGGATTTGCTGTAGCAGAAAAAGAACTTAAAGAAGCGTTCCATCAACTTCATGGAATTTATTTTGGGATCAACCAATTGGGCGTGAACAAAGCCTCTACCTAACTAGCTAGCACGTCCTTTTTAATTCATAGGTTTAATCGTGCTCTTGAAAATGAATAAAGGCAAAAGCCTTAATTAACGAAACTGAAAAGTTGCTTGAATCTTCCAAACATTTTGATTAAAATATATAGGACGTGCTACATTATTGCCAGATTCTACGCTTCATTTGTTTTGAGTTGATTATTTTAATTTTTAAAATTTAAATTACTGTGACTAATTTTTAAAGAAAATATTGTATTAATAAATATTATTTTTTACTTTTAAACAGCCAAACAACCTACACAGTTATCCTAGGTAATCAACTCATAAGCATTCTCTCCAAAGAAAGAAAGAAAGAAACTTTCAAGGGAAGATCTAAAATATTAACAAATAATTTTGTTTGGGAAATGCATGTTAATGCCATCAAATATTAGTATGAATTATCTATTAGTATAAAGCTTTAAAATTTATATAAATTTTTTTAATTATGTTAGAAAAATAATTATATTTATAAAAAATATTCAAATAATTTATAATTGTTTATTAATAAATGATAATTTTATTTATTTATTTACAAATTTTTTATATTTAAATTTGATTTTTTAATTTTAATTGTTTGCATTTATAGTCTTTTTGAAACTTTAATTATTTAAATTAAGTCTAATCTCAAAATTTTATCTAATAATTAATAAGCGACATCTAGTATTGATTTGTAAAATCATTATTTTTCCTGAATAGAAAAGAAAATTCATTAAATTTAAACAAGTATTAGGCTACTAGCTGTACTCGGTATATACAAATAGGATGATATTGGTTTGAATAATTAAAAGGGACCCTTAATGATACCGCTTCGGTATTTTAGATATATTTTTAACATGAATCATATATAAAAAATAATAATGATAATGATCAATTCTTAGTAATATAGAAAATGCAGTATTAATTTTTAATTAATAACCTAAATAACAAAACTGCTACTAATATACGAACTTCCAGTTTTTACGTATACACATCAAACACTGGTTTATAACGTTGAAAAACGTCACAAAAACTTCTGCTATGAAAAAATTGTTTCGAAAAGCGAGACTTTCCATCGTCTTTCTTGTTCAATGATAAAACAAGCAAGTCTTAAACCAGCTAATCAATTATAAAATATCACAAATGGGGTTGTGAGAAGTGAGAACAAAACGATATTTGTTTATCCACTAAAAGGAATCTTCAATTGTCCTTTCTTTTGGTGGTTCAAGCCTTGCTGCTTAGCAGGATACAAGCTGTATTAATTAGCACCATTTATTTGATACTCATTGAAGTGCATGTGTAACATTTTGCACCGTCCTAATTAATTATAATTTTCATTTGTAAAGTGACACAAGTACATCGTATATAAACTGTATGTGTGTAAAAGAAACAAAACACCATTAACAAAGCTGCAGGGAAATCCTTGTCGACACTAGCAAACACAGAAGTTTTAGTATTGCATGCCACGTGATTGTCATGTGAAAAATCAATATTTCATCTTAATGTGCATATATCATAATAATCACATGTACACACAAATACTAGCATGATAATTAACAAATACAATTGCTTAAATATTATAATAATCAACAATTATAGAACAATATGCACGCTAAATCACAGTTTTATATTCCATCCATTGATTATACTTTGGCTTCGCTTTGCAATCTTATCCAAAGAAAATGCTTTCTCAATAGTTTTGTGCAAAAACATCGCCGAATCGGAGTGTTAAATAGCATTCCTTTTCCGAAACACATATTTAAAGTTCCATTAAGAATAATTAATCATAAGGCAGTCCACTAAACATCAATATAAAAACTAGAAAGCAGAATTCTGATGTTGTGGTGATATTTTAAGAGATCTCACATTCTCCCAATTAGTAAGTAATCCTTGTAGGCATTCGACTGAACCCGACTTCTATTTATTTTTTCAGATTATATTAGTTTTAAAAAGAAGGCTAACTAATTATTATTGTTGTCGTCATTATTACTATTATTATTATTATTATATATACATGATTATACGCAAATACATATACGTTACAAATAAATAATAATAATTTTTTTTTATAAATATGAGACAACATTTGACAAATTAAAATTAAATCTATTTACAATTACTTGATATTTTTAATAAAATGTCAATTTTATTAGACATGTTATCCACACTCTGTGACAAGTGCTAAATATATTTTTTAACTAGATAGTTATAATATTATCACATTTAATGATGTTTATAAAAGGAGGGAATTACTTGACTCAAAGATGTTACTGTACAATTTCATATTCTTATTTTAATTAAAAAATTTTATTGACTTTGGCGTTAGAGTTTTTTTTTCCTTTTTTAGGAATATGAGTCTTACTCAATCTCTAATATTAAGTGTTCAGGTCTTTCTCAATATTCAAACACTGACCATGAATATATACGTATAATGAGCTGGTATATTTACATGATTTTACGTGAACTTTTACTAAGTTTTATATCAATTATGTATGTTAAAACTCTTTGTCAAATTTGTGTACTTTGTAGACTTTTATATAGTTTTAGTTTGATTTCTGTGTAATTTTATTATTTTTATTATTGCTGAAGTGGAATATTGTTTCCCCCACTTGACATAATTTTAAGTGTCCATCAACTACCGATCTCTAGAGTCTATATTGCAAGGAAAACTTAAGGAACTCTAGTAATAAAAGCACTCATTAAAATGGAATTTAGAAAATGGTCCCTCAGAACCTCACCAAAATTCAAAGGGTTGTAAATGGAAAACTTATTGCAGCCGTCCTAGATGGGCACGTATAGAAACCCTGTCCTTTGCTTGTTGAATTTCGAATTAAAAACCTCATTTTTCAAAAAATTATGCAACATTCTATATAATAATAAGAAATTAATAAATAATATATTTTTATTAAAAATCATAATATTTTATAATAACAATATATTGCATCCAATACTTAAAATTTTTAATTTGTAATAAAAATTATACATAATATTACACAAATTGAAAATTTGTTATAAATTTATAATCCGCCCAATTTCACTTGGAAGCGTGTACGAAGATCCAGACCGCAGTGTACTGCCCTTGCATTGCCTGAGCACAGTGCCTGCTCTCGGTAATATCGCGCGGTTCATTCATAGCACGAACACGAAGGATTTGTATGTACATAATAAAAACACTACAATAAAGTCACACACAGTAGTTTTTTAGTAATTCAATAATCTAATTTTAAATCTAATAGTATCTTCGGAAGAAATTTACAAACCCAAATCCTAGCAAATATATTATTATTTCATATTAAATAATTTCATAAATATCTATATGAATTTTTTTTATTAATTCCCAAAACTTAGGTGAATGCTAATATGTTCACACACAAAAAATGTCCGAGTGAATTGGGAATGGGAGGAAACTGGGCATCAGCAACAAGAGGCGATAAGATAAAAAGTTAAAACTCACTGGGCACGCACGCGCACACAACTAAGGGAAGAAAGTCAAACTGTCATACTTACAAACTACAAACTATAATTATTAATTATGCTCCAAATACATACTTAAGTGTTAGTTAATTAAGTCATTAATTAATTCTTTTCTTCTTACACCTTCTCTCTCTCATCCCCCAACTATCCTTTTCTTTTTCTTCCACATTTTCAAAACCCCATCCTTGTGTATTTATAAAAAGCCCCACCCTTCTTTATCCCCCCTCGTAACAATCCAAGACTCTTTTGTCTTTCTCTCCCTATCTCAATCTCATTCTCTCCAACTAAGACCAAAATAATCAAAGCTCTTTCGTTTTGAATTAGCTTCAACTATTGGCAATTGGAGACTCAATGGATGTAAAAGGAAGAGGAAACAACACCTTATGTGAGGACGAGATGGACCTCAGAAGAGGCCCTTGGACCGTTGATGAGGACGACACCCTTGTCAATTACATTGCCACTCATGGCGAAGGTCGTTGGAATACCCTCGCCCTCTCTGCCGGTATAACTTGTTTCTTTTCCTATGTTTTAATTAATAAATTAATACCATATTCGAAAATTTTATTTTCATCTATAGCTTCTATATCTATGTGATTGTGGTGCGAAGCCTCCACTTTTAATGGCCACCAAGGAATTATGGAAGCCCAACGTTTGTGGTTTTCTAACTAAAAAGAGCATGGGAAGATAATGAATTGTGCTGGGCTTTAATTAATGTACATATGGGTGCGGATGTACTTGTGTCTAGGTTCATAATTTTGTTTGTGTGGATAAGTTTTAGATATAGCATATGATTCATGAATATTGGTTGGTGATAATTGCTTGGCCGCTCCCACTTGTGAAAAAAGGAAAAGGAAGATGAATTGATACCTCCACTCAAATCATTAATGTTTCAGAAAAAGAAAGTACCTTATAAAGGAAGAGAAAAATGCTCTTTCGTTGTCCCTCATTAGCAGAATTATGTGCTTTACCAATCTGAGTAATTAATAGCCTTGTTTTGTTTTAGGCCTCAAACGAACGGGTAAGAGTTGCAGATTGAGGTGGCTGAACTATCTCCGTCCTGATGTTCGACGTGGAAACATCACACTTGAAGAACAACTTTTGATCCTGGAGCTCCATTCTCGCTGGGGAAACCGGTAATTAATTGTGCCAAATACGCATGCATTAAAAAAATACCATTTTTTTTATCCTATATACATCAGGATCAATGTATAGATTAATTAACAAAAGAATAAGTTCTGGTCGAAATAGGATATAAAAAAAAATCGTTGTTAAAAAATCATTAACCATCTTAATTAATTTTTAGATTTTGATTTGATTATTAGTTTAATTTATAGGTAAATTAACAATGTTTATTGATTGAATCAGATGGTCGAAAATTGCCCAATATTTGCCTGGGAGAACCGACAATGAGATAAAGAACTATTGGAGAACCCGAGTCCAAAAGCATGCCAAACAACTCAAATGTGACGTGAATAGCAAGCAATTCAAGGACACCATGCGCTACCTTTGGATGCCGCGGCTGGTGGAACGAATTCAGGCAGCCGCTGCGGCTTCGACTACTTCTGCTACTACTACCACTGCTGCTACGATTTCTCCAACTAACTTATCCACCACCACAACTGTCACGACCAATAACGGGTACAACTACGGCAACAACCTCAATAACAACAATTTTGAGGTCAATAATCATGGCGGTAAAATGGGGTTAACTTCTTCAGTTATGAACAACGATCTTGTGGGTTCACAAAGGGCACAAAGTTATACCCCAGAGAATAGTAGCACGGCCGCGTCATCATCAGACTCGTTTGGGACTCAGGTCTCAACGATCTCTGATTTGAATGATTATTACAGTGTTCCTGTTAGTAGTAACAATAACCCTAATTCCATACATTATTACCAACCCTCTCAAATGAGTTATTCGGATTGCATCACAAGCCCATCTGGGTTGTTCCCCCAGGGACTGGATTTCCAAGCCATGGAGCCAAACAACCCTTGGAACATGCAAAGTGGGGACTCGTCCGACAATTTTTGGAACGTTGAAAACATGTTGTTTTTACAGCAGCAACTTATGAATGACAACATGTAAAACGTTGGGAATAGGAATGGGGGAATTATATGACGGAGAAAAGGGGAAGGAAGGGGTTGTTTGGGAAATGTAGAGGGGTGAAAGTAGAAACATCAAATAAAATTAATTCATATGTAGGACACACGTAGATAAGATCTATGATCGACAAAATATCTTAACACTGTGGATTATAAGGATAAAGAGAAGGAATTGGGGGGATTATTTTTCAGCTTGTAGTGTTTCTTTTTTAGTGGAGATGGTGAAAAAAATTGTAACTTGTCCTTTCTTTATATATGATCTCATTCTTTGAAATTATTAACTTTATTTTATTCTCATCTTAATTCCCTAGCTTCTTCGGTGAATGATTAGTTGCTAGTGAGGCCATTATAGATGCGGAATCGTACATAATTAAATAATAATTTCAAGATGGACTTACTTGGCTTCGCACACCACGCCTTTTTCCCATTTTCTTTGTTAAAACTGTTATTAAATTACATTATGAGTAATCCCACTCTTGAAATTTTGTCCACGGGACCTGAACCAAGCCCCTATCTTCCAAAGTTTCTAGATTGTTAAAGAAAAGGTGACAAGTATTGTAATTTTTTAGACGTGATATTCTATTATTGGTGGGTTAGCTCTAATGTTCAAGTTGGCCATTAGGGACATAATATTTCTAAAGTTCTAATGTATGGCCTACTATTGCTAATGAACAGAAAGTTTAATATGCCACCTAAGTACGATTCAAAGGACCCAAAATCATCTCACGCTTGTTGGATTTCGTACGGACAATATATTTTTTTTTACTAGGCTCCACACTTGTTAACTTTCACTTCCAATCCATAATAATAAGATGCTTCATCGGTAATAGCATAATTTCAACACCCAACTTTATTATAAAGTAAATAGTGTTTTCTCAATTTATTTATTTGTTCATTTTTTAATAAAAGATATACTATATATTTAGAAATTTAAGAAAGTATTACGTACTTATTCATTAACTAAAAACTATTTATTTATTTCAAAAAATTACATATCTTCCATAAATGAAAAAAAATTAATTTTTTAAAAATTAAAGAATAAATGCAATGTAAATAAAAAAGTTTTAATTATTTTTTTAATTTAAATATTGTTCTCTTAAGTGAACAAATAAAAAAATAGCTGGAGATCTCCAATGCGTGTGCCAAGATAGAAGAAGGATAACAAAAAATTATGATGGGCGTTTGAGTAGGAAGATTCTTATCAACACTGCTTCGTGAGTTGTAAATAATTAAACTTATACATTTATTACATATATAGAGAGAGAAAGAGATATAAAATATATTTAGTGACACCAGTTTTTTACGAATTTTAAATTTGGATCATATAATTACGTATAAATGATCATCAATAGTAAAAAATAATTAACGATCACATGTAATTAAAACAACTATTTATTATAATAATAAATAAGTCTTCAAACACACATATTAAAGTATTTCATATTTTTTTAAAAATTACTATGGTTATTTTCCGTACACTACTATAATTAGAAATATAAAATCTTGATTCACGAATGTTCTGAGATATTAATGAAACTTTAAGAAATATTATTTGAAAATTAATGTATTTAACATATGCAATATTTAAAAAATCGTTTTTCTTTTAATTAAAATATTAAATTTTATTTCCCTAATGTTTCACTGTACTTGTTAAGAAGTTATTAATGAAACACAGTCAGTAGTGAATATATAATATGTAATTAATATATAAGAGCCTTATCATCTAAGTGTTAAAAATAATAATTAAAAATTGTATTTTTAATAAATTTAAAATTTTTAAAAAACATTTTAAACAAATACTAATGAATTTTTTATATTATAAAATAAGATGTGCATTTTGCTATGTGAGCATTGAAAGTTACTAAAAAACAACGTGTAGGAATAGTTTATAGAGAGAGAGAGGAGTATGGCAATGGCGGCGGGGAATCTATGTAGGCCGCGTGCCTATAAAGGAGAGGAAAAGAAGCCATTGAAGTGGTCCTTTGGAGTGGAGCGCGTGTTCACAACTTCCCACGTGTTCGTCTTTTTAAATTATTATTTTTTTAAAATAAAAAAGGATTCCTGGAACGAAGCACTGACAGCCGCAACCATTGAAATAGCTTCCGTATACATTAGTCGACGTATGACCTATAAAATCATAATCTACGGGAATGTCACTGTTTCTATTTCTCTGTTGTTGTTTTTTTTTTTTTTTTTTATGAAAACTAATCGGCTTTTTTATTTTTTTTAAATATATCCTCTATTTTGAATTTATTTTTTCACATTAACACCTATTTCATTTACAATACAGACGGAAAAACTCACAAGATTATGTCATATGTTATATTAATCTAATTTTTAAAACTTAATTTAAAAAAAAGAAAGTAAATGTATTTAAAAAATATAACTAACGATTAATTTTTTTTTCTCTTTCTTCCTATCATCAATAAAATTTATTTTTAATATTATTGCTTATTTTGTAATTTTGTATGATTGAATTTAATTTTTAACTACATAAATTTAAAAACACATCAAACTAAACCGAATAGATACATATAAAAAATGGATAAAAAGTATTAATTATTTTTGAATAAATAAATTATTTTAATAATATTAAATGTATAAATGACTCTGTTAATTAATAGTAGTTATTTTTTAGATACACTCATTTTTCTTTTTTTAAATTAAGTTTTTATTGTTAAATTAGTATTACACATTATTTAATTCTATGAGTTTTGTCTATTATGAGACGAAACTTACTAAATGATAACACGTAGCACAATTGCGTATTTTTATCTTTTTTAAAAATAAAATTTAATTTAATTTTTTTTTAAAATTTAATTTTGCCTACATAATAGATAAAACAAGTGTTGATATGATAAAAAAGATCGAAATAGGGGATATATTTTAAAAAATATATTATTTAAAAAACATTAAAAAATAAAAAAGCCAAACTAAACAATAACCAAAAAAGTTACTATCCAAGGTGCCGTTCATTCGTAATTGAATTGTTAGTTAAATACACCCTTTGATTCCTGAAATAATTTTTATGTATTACTAATTTAATTCACTTATTTTCAAATAAATTATTTCATGTATAAATAATGAAAATAGTTAAAATTAATTTGATGATAAGTTATATATATATGATGTTTTAGAAACATAATTTTTACGGCTATGGTATGCAAAATTTTGTCTAGCAAAAATCATTTATCAGATCTAACTGGTAGATATTTATAGTATCAATTGAAGCTTTGTTTTCGTCATAAAAACATATATATTAAAAAAATATAATAATTTTAGTTGTCAAATTATTTTATAATTTAAAAATTACATAGAATGTTGGACATAATTTTTAATTATCAACTATTTCATTATAAAAAAATGCTATTAAGTTTGATAACTTGTCCCAATTTTAAAAGAAATATTAAAAAGGAATTTATAAAATTAAATAAGTGTTATGTATTTGTAAATAAATTAAAAAAAAGATCCTTGATTTGAGGAAAGCATATGAGAGCAGAAATTGTATAACTGGACTCCGCAAAGATAGAATAAGGGTGCGGGCGGAGCAAGACTTGTCTAATATGTTTTTCTTCAGCCACGCTTGGTTTCTTGAATTTTCCTGAAATTCAAACTGAAAGCAAAAATCAATCTTTCGTTGGTGGGACCATATGAAGTGACTTCCAACATCCAAGTCAAGGGCCCCACTGGGACCCATCAAAACCCACGTCGGCACCCTGTCATTCAATTGGTGCCACCTCCTTAGCTTCACACTAGTTACCTATTTTCCCCGTCACATTTCACCCACAACACTGTTCAATAAAACCTCTCCTCACTCTCTGTTCCTTCTGCAATTAATTCATGTTAAGGCACTAATATGTGTGCATTCTCAATCTGCACTTGGTTATATTACGTGGTAAGTTTACTGTTCAAACTTTTTTAAATACACAGATGACTCAATTTTAAGATATTATTTAAGTGATATTAAATCGCTTATTATTTAAATTAACTTCTGTTAGATCTATCAATTTTATTTTCTTTAAGTATATCTAAAAGCATCTAAATTAAGGTCTTACTTTTGAGAAAATTAAACTTCTTGACACTTAAACTAATAAAGGACCATTTGAACTTCCTCGATGTTACGGGGTTGCTGAAACTTAACAAATTACCTTCTTTAGAACAACTTTCCCTCACGTTCCGTTTCGGGTTCTCCTGAGAGACCAAGAAAATTAAGAACGTGGAACCGAGTGGAACCACATGCTGCCCCTGGTCGAAGCCAACTAGACTATGGATAAGGAACGTGCCTGAATTAATTTGAACCACAAATTTTGTATTAAAACATTTGTACTATACGAGAAATTGATAACTTTTTTTCTGAATCTGACACTTAAAGAAGTTTATTTTTATTGAAAATTATATTGTTTTTAATTTATTAAAGTTTATAATATCTTGTATTTTTTTATTAAATTTTATTGTTTATAAGTACTTATTATATGTCAGAAAAATCGAATAAATGATAATATGAAATTTAAATACATATCTATTTCACAATGATAATATATTTCAAGTTGAAATTATTTTAAAAACTTCAAAACAAATAACACATTATGTAAAATATTTCTTAAAAGGCCGCTGGTCGGGCATTCATCAAAACATGGGCAAAAAAGTATGGTGGGAAATGCTATTATGTGGAATAATGGTGTTTACTTAAAAAATTATATATTATTGTCATACCTTTTTTTTATGATTGAATAACTAAGAAAGTTTCATGTTTCAACACACATTTTTAATCTTTTTTCTAAGCATTAAAGTGTTAAGATAATGCGCTAATATAATTTTTGTATTTGGTCTTCATCCTTTTCTCGTTTGTACTACTCCATTAAGTTGGTATGTCCATGGTACATCATTTTCATTGATCATTTATTGCGTGAAGCATTGTGATGAAAGTGGGGTGGAAAAACATGGTTGCAAGGGTTTTTTTTAAAAGGCCTGTCCCTACAGCCACAAGTTGGATGCGTGCAAAGGTTAATTTAATATTGGCGATCTTGATTCCAGCTTCGAATGTCATTGCCTCAAAATATACAGAAACTATTTCCATTCCGTAACCAAAAATGTTCATGCTTGCTTTGTCCTCCTGCTTAAAGTAAAAACACGTTTTGCATTTACTTCATTCTTATCCAAGACAGATCCACCTTTTTTTTCTTGTTGATTAAAGTTTGAAGCTAGGAATAGGATTTGGGTAGGTTTAGGGTTTAGTTACATAAATGGAAGTTTTTAATTCCGAGCATACTCTGCTAATTTAAATCAAAACACTCATTTGACTGCGTATGCAGATGAGATTTAGACTTAGCTTAAAGTTTTAACAAATTCTTAAAAAGAAAAAGAAATGATGGTACGTTTTATAGATTTTGTTAACTTGTTTAAGCATTTATTCATGTATTTATTATATTAAGGTTAGAAAAGTACAAATTTAAACTCTATATATATATACTTATCATGACACTTTCCTGTCCCAATTTACCACCGTAAATAGCGAACTATGATTGTACGCGTGTTGACTGGGAATCTGCATGGAACACATTCTTTTGATGGGGTGTATTCCGTTAATTTTCCTAAATTATGGCAAAAACTGAACCATTTTAATTTAGTTGATGATTGGCTATGGATTAATTAGTTCGTGTTCCTTCTACCTACTTTAGCGTTAAATTAATGAGTGGACCTTCGAAGGCTAATTGCTAGAATGAATTTTTATATACACACGTATGCAATCGTGATTATCAATGAAATGTGTTCCAGTTCCGATCCTTTGCGGTTTCCTTGTAGTATATATTGTTTATTTTATTAATTTTTAATTCAATAAATAATGCAAAATTCCACAACAATTCAACCACAAAAGATAAAAAAATTAATTATTATTATTATTCTGTGTGTTGAGAACTTGAGATAATTGGTCGAGCTAGAATGTATCGTGATTTTAATTTGAAGAGATTTAAAGATTACTTGCTACGACACTAATCATTAGAGATTAGATCAGTGTACTGGTGCTTTGACTAGAAACAAGACCAATGGAAACTATCGCCCATAACTTCAACACAAAACACGCGTCAAGCGATGAATATATATAATTATTATACTTTTAATTATAAAAATTATAAAATAAATTTAAGATGAATTAATTATTAATTTTTTTTATATTTTTTTTCATTAATATCATTAAATATATGTTATCGATTATACTATTTAATATTATAGGTATCTTTAAATATAATATAACTGATTTAATTATTTCTAAAATTTAATATTAGAGTGAGTGTCATTGATTAAATCTGTAGTTTATTAAAGAAAGGGGGAAAAACTTTAAGGTACCTTATTTCCTAACACGTGAATGAGCATTAGAAGTTTTCTCTCTTTATTTTATTCTTGTCGATCAGTATTGTATAGGAAATTTTTTTAGATAATCTAGAATTATGTTGTTTCGGCTATTTACATTATAATTTGTTCTTATAAATTATAAAACTATACGTATGTCATCACGTGATTGGCTTGAGATATATGATGTTAGATCATGAATAAATTTCTTGATGAATAGATTGTTTGAATTATTTATTTATATAACTATACAGTGTAAAAATATTATCTATTTAGCGAATGAGATAAGATTATAAGATAATTATATAGAATATAATATAATAAAATTTTTATTTTATATTTCATATTTGTTGAATAAAAATTATATTAAATATTAGACAAGATAATTTTATAAAATAAACATTTTGAGTGAACGAGGTATTGTATCACTGCTTGCTTACGGCATTAGGTGCAGTGTATTCAGCAGAAATAATTTATTTATTAAATCATGTCGGCTGTGGTTTATTATATGCCTTCGGCTCCGTCGTCGTTTTTAAAAACAAAACTATCCTTCTTGTTGTTTAGGAGTATATGGCCTCGATTGGGTTTCTTATTTAGTTTCGTGTGGCTTGGGAAATTAATTACTAACTCCAGTATTTTTTATAAAAAATAAAAAATTAAATTTTTACAATAAAAATAATAATTAAGTTATTTATATTTTTTATAAATATAAAATTTATTTTAAAAATACCTATCATGTTAAATGTTGTAGTTAGTAATATGTACAATTAATAATATTAATAAAATAAAAATATAAAAAAATTAATAATTAATACTTCTTAAATCTATTATTTATTTTTTATAATAAAAATTAAAAAAATACTCTATTTTATTATAAAAAGAATCAAAGAAAGTATTATTTTATAATATTATATATTTTTATTATGTTAATTTATTTTTTTATTATTTATATATAATTTTATATTAAAAAAAATTAATTAATTATATTTAATCTTTAAAATTTTTAAATCATTAACGTCGAGAGACATTGTTGTACTGTATTTTTTTTATTTATTGAAAATTATATTTCTTAAGAATGTTACAAATTTATTGGATATGTTTTAGATATTATTAAAAACGTTATACACTATATTCCAAAAACATTTTGATTTTATGTATAGTTTAAACTCTTAATATATTATTTTTTTACTTTTTATAATATTGATATATATATATATATATATATATATATATATATATATATATATATATATATATATGACTATTGGCAAGAGTGAGAAAAAATTGAATAATCGAGTAGCAATATTAAAATTAAGCTCTTTATTTTAATCAATAGTCATTATTAATACCTTTCACCTTTCCTAATAATAAATTTATCTTACTTGAAATACATTTATATGTATATAGGGTTAGGATCTTCTTATACTAGTGTAAGAGTTTTTAATTCTTACACTTAATCTGAACATTTCATTTAACTTAAATTTAACATGTTATAATTTATTACTTTATTAACTTTTAAATTTAAGTTAAATAAAATGCTTGGATTAAGTGTAAAAATTTTTATACTTATACTAGTGTAAGAAAATCTTTCCTTATATATATTAAGCAGTGACTTAGATAACTATTTAATATAATAGTAAGTTAATAATTAAAGTTTTGAAAAAATTGACAAGATAAAAATATAACATGAAATAGGTTTAATTTAAAAATTTTATAAGATATAATTATATTTTTTATGACTACAAATTTTGAGTGTAAATATAATGCCCAACCCGAGTCTTAACAAAATAGAATGCCAGAAAGGAAGAAACAAAGGCAGTAACGAAAGGTCGTCTTCTCTTTGCGTTTTTAGTCAACGGATCAAAGAAGGCCTATATACACTACAAGGCCCAAATTCCGGAAGTATACAACAATACCACAGTAGGCCCAACATTAGAGGCCCATGCTGAGCCGAGAAATTCGTTAAATTAGAGGAAATGTTTTTGTCCATAAAACACGTGCGACAAACAGCGATTACACGTGGGAAGTCAAAATGAAAAATATCGCGATATTTGAGACGGAAAAGACATTTTAGCTTAGAAATAAGAACGGGAAGAAGAGTGGCCAATAAGAAGCGTGCACGTGTAGTTACGCGGCGTGCACCGTATGACTTGAGTTCCACGTGATTTAATTGCTTTTTTGGCTAAAAAATGTGGAAATTGGGCGCTTTTGTAAGTTGTCTGATCCATTCAAATATCTACAGTTCCTCAATACTTGATTAGACGTTTTTACCCTCATTCCTTCACAACTTGCCTATCCTAACACGTCATCACCTTTTTCTTTTCCCAATTTACCCTTTGTTCTATTATCTGAAGATTGAGGACGGTACTTACTTGCCCTTCTTAAATGCTCTGAAAATTATAATACTAATAAGAATAGCCATTTTGTGGGGAAAGGAATTCAAAGATAAGGACATAGAAAACACTTCCAACCAAAATAAATACCATCAAATATGTATAATAGAAAGGAATCACCTTGAAGAGTTGTTGCTTCAAGCCTCCAACACGTTGCACGCTTCACAATCAATTATAACCAGACACAAATTCTATATAAATATATTTTTCTTATAACATGATATTGGAATTTTTTTTATTTGTTGCTTTTGAATTATATTTTTTCTTTTTTTTATTTTATAAATTATATTCTAATTAACAACGAAAGAGAAATAATGGTATATAAAATGTTAAAATAATTAATATACTTTAAATAATAGATGAAAAAATAAAGAAAATAAGGGTGCCCATAAAATCCCTGTCATTTTTTTTTAATCTGGTTTTTCATTACAGTTTATTATAACTGTTATTTATTATTCGTTGCAGTTGGGACTTGATACGTTGAACCTGGCGTATTTTATTGCAGGATTGAACTCATCTACCTACCAGGCAACAAGGGTAATAGAGTAAAATCAAACATTACCCAAAAATACAAAAGAGCTTCACATGGCGGGTCAGTAATGTAATTTCACTTTTTCTTCAATTTCTTAAGCTACCCTTTCTCTCCTGCGAACTTTCCCTTCTGAGATCTTATAAAAGGAGTTATGAGCTTCATTCTTCATTTCTTCAAATCTCAAAACACTTTCTTCTCTCGTTCAAACCATTTGATCTCATCATCATCGGCATCCTCTACTCAAACTGTAAGTAACGCTAAATCACTGTAAATATCAATCATCACTCTCTTTAGTTATCAACTTAGAATCTTCCTTTTCTAGATTTATAATTATTTTTTTTCATTTCCACCCGTATATATTATTATTGCCCTATACATAAAAGAGTCGTAAATAAATTGAAGTCGTGATTTTAAGTAGTGCAAAAATAGTTTCATTTTCTGGGCTGTGGTTATTTGATCCTGCAAATGACTACTGGTAGTTCTATTGGAATCTCTACCATGAAGCCTTGTTGTAGAATCCTAAGTTGTTCTAAAAATCCATCGATTTTTGGGTTTTCTCCAACCAAGTTTAATGATTCAAGGGTCCTGGGCATGTTGCCCAGATTACGCCACCCCAATTCAACCCATCGCCATAGATATTATACATGTAATACTCAGATTGTAGGATACATACGTGTGATCAAGCCGAATCGGGGCGATTTTAGTGATTCCGATTCAAATTGGGCTCTTTCTAGGAACTTTAGCTCTAGTTTTGGTGTCAATATTGGTAGTGTTAGGCCTAGGGTTGTATCCTTGATACCGAATGTGGCTTCGGATATTAGAAATCACTCCACATCGGTTGATTCTCATGTTCATGACACAAGCTTTGAGAAGATTTATATTCAAAGCGGCTTGAATGCGAAGCCATTGGTAATTGAAAGAATTGAGACTGATCAAAGTAAATTGGAGGAAGTCTCTGAGGAAAGATGTGACGGGTCAAATGTAAATGTAGATAATTTGAAGGATTTGAGTGAGAGTAAGGTTCAGAAGGAGTTGTCTGAGATTGAAAAGGAAGCTTGGAAGTTGCTTCAAGATGCTGTTGTCACTTACTGTGGGAATCCGGTTGGGACTGTTGCAGCTAATGATCCTGCGGACAAACAACCGCTGAATTATGATCAAGTCTTTATCCGTGATTTTGTTCCATCAGCGCTTGCCTTTCTGCTCAATGGCGAAGGGGAAATTGTCAAGAATTTTCTACTTCACACATTGCAATTGCAGGTATGCTATGCCCTTACCATCAATTAGTTTGTTACTGCATACCTTTATTTGCTTTTCTTCTACAAAATAGTTTCTTCTATAGTTTTATAACATTCTGATCTAGCTTTTGAAAGTAAATGCCCTCATTTCAAATTTAGAACTGTTGGAGACTTGCTTCTGTCAGTTATGCTAATTTATGTACTGCATTGTCAGTTGAAATGGTGTAGTTTAGCTTTGTTGCCACATAATAAATGACAAATGCTCTTGCCTGCCTAGTAATTCGATAGTTTGATAGATTTTACGGATAGATTGTTTCTCCTATTTGAATGAAAGAAAGACTTAATGTGCCTGGTTATCTTTGTTTCTTTTCTCATTTTAATTTGTCCTATGTTAGATGTCACTGCAAAAATGTCTAAATGCTTCTCATCCAATGAACGTATGTCGTTATTTCATCTTAACTTAAGGAAACAAAAAATCCTAACAAGTGCCTCATTAGCTATGCTTTGCTAATGTATATCTCTCAAACAAAACATGTGACCGATGAGTGGAGGGGAAGGAGTATTCTTTAAGGTATTGCAACAAATAATGTTGATGAAGCTGTTTCAGGACTTGAATTAATGGCTCTTGGTGCCCTTATTCCTCATTCAATATTTTTAATTCAAGTTGCTTATGTTTGCCAGAGTTGGGAGAAGACTGTTGACTGCTACAGCCCAGGGCAAGGGTTGATGCCAGCAAGCTTCAAAGTTAGAACTGTGCCTCTTGATGGAAGCAATGAAGCATTTGAGGAAGTTTTGGATCCTGATTTTGGTGAATCAGCCATTGGTCGCGTTGCACCTGTTGATTCAGGTAAGTTATTTATTGTTGTGGAAGCTAATACATTGTTCTATTACATGAATTGTTACCTACATTCTTACTCTCGCAAGATTCTCGTTCACTTTACTTCTTAATTTTTAAATCCTGCTTTGGGCCAAAATTTTAAAGCTTACGATGAATACTTTGCTAACAGGATTATGGTGGATTATATTGTTGAGAGCTTATGGGAAATTAACTGGTGACTATGCTTTGCAAGATAGAGTGGATGTCCAGACAGGGATAAGGCTAATCCTTAAGTTATGTTTAACTGATGGATTTGACATGTTTCCTTCTCTATTAGTCACTGATGGTTCCTGCATGATTGATAGAAGGATGGGCATCCATGGTCACCCTCTTGAGATCCAAGTAAGCTGATTGATCATTATCACTTTATATGTTAGGAATTTGGAATTATCAGTTATTATACTCTTCCAAATGTGTGGGTATTGAAAGGGGAATTCTTTCAATGATAATATGCTTTCCTGCTCTGCATTTGGAGCAGCATTTTCTTTTAGTTTGATTGCTTGTGCAAGAACAAGTCATGTCACTGTTATTCAAGAAAACTTTATTATCTGCCATAGAAGAAACTCTGATTGAGAGTTCTAAAATGTATAAATTTTCCTTTGTTCAGTGTTTAATTTTTATATTATAAGTTAAAACTGATTTATTGTTTTAGAGCTTTCATCACAATTGTGCATTGCTGAATGCTTTCTAATTACTCCATCTTCTTTATACAATTAATTTAAAATGAATTTGGGCTGGTTGAGGCTTCATTGACTGTCTTTAATAACCTTTTTCCCATGTCTCATGGGTGAAGTTTTGCCTATGCATTTGCTATCACTTAGCTTTGTGCTACGTGGTTGATAAGACAAAAGGTGATTTTGGAATTGTTGGTTAGGCATCCTTGTTCAATATTTAGACCAGAGATTCAGAATTGAACTTTAGTTGTCTGCTTAGTGCAATAGCATTGAACAATTGACAATGCATGTAATATTGTCAGAAGAGACTTGGAATGATAACTAAAGCTAGTGGTGTCCTAAAATGGATTAACATTATCTTCATGGATTGGATTCTATCCCGTTTCCCTCTTCTTACATGTTGGATCCTGGGTTTTTGAATATATGATTCTTCGCTTATAAATTTCTGTGTGTGGATTTGAATTGCGTATCTGCAGGCACTATTTTACTCAGCTTTACGCTGCTCTCGTGAGATGCTGATAGTCAATGATGCAACTAAGAACCTGGTGGCTGCTGTTACTAATCGCCTGAGTGCACTCTCCTTTCACATGAGAGAGTATTATTGGGTTGATATGAAGAAGATTAATGAAATTTATCGGTACAAGACAGAAGAGTATTCCACTGATGCTGTCAACAAGTTTAACATCTACCCGGAGCAAATTCCTTCATGGCTAGTAGACTGGATTTCTGAGGAAGGTGGATACTTCATAGGCAATTTGCAACCTGCTCATATGGACTTTAGGTTTTTCACACTCGGAAACCTTTGGTCCATTGTTTCTTCTTTAGGCACCACAAGACAGAACACTGGTATTTTGAATTTAATAGAGGCTAAATGGGATGATATCATTGGTCAAATGCCTCTCAAGATATGTTATCCAGCGCTGGAGGGTGAGGAATGGCGCATAATCACTGGCTGTGATCCCAAAAACACGTAAGGCTCTTTTAAATTTCTTGTTCTTTTTGAAATAGTTGTCATTTTTGCAAAGAGTAATGCAACAGCCACAACCCTTTTGATACAAAAAATCACAATTGTGTCATGCACATCATTGAAACATACGAAAAAGGTTTTGGCTACTGCAGTACTCTTTGTCAAAAGATCTGTTTGCAATGTGCTCCCTTGTCTCTGGTTGGAAGTGACATGCAATAACAATTCCCGGTAAACTGCTTGCAGCCCGTGGTCATATCACAATGGCGGATCTTGGCCAGCACTTCTCTGGCAGGTGAGTTTGATATTTCTTTGGATCATATCATTTTTATGATTAATTATTGTTATTTTTTAATAAAATCAAGTTCCCTTTTTAATATATATATTTTTTAGATTGATAAAGCAATCGAAAGACTATTATATATATCTCCCTCTGCTGAAGAGAAAACGAACCTCATGTCTTCGTCATATTTCTATCTTCTCTTTTATTAGTTATATGCTTATTTTGTCTAAACCCAAGAAGCAATTACTTGCTTTACATTTTTGTGAGTCTTTGGATTTTTTATGAACAAGGCCCCTAATGAGCTGACCCTTGGTATATTTGAACTTCAGTTCACACTAGCATGCATCAAGATGGGAAGGCCTGATTTGGCACAAAAAGCTGTTGATTCAGCAGAAAATAGGATTTCCGTAGATAGATGGCCAGAATATTACGACACGCGAAATGGAAGGTTTATTGGCAAGCAATCACGGTTGATGCAGACATGGACTATTGCTGGTTTCTTGACCTCAAAGATGCTTCTAGAGAATCCAGAGAAGGCCTCCTTGTTGTTCTGGGAAGAGGATTTTGAACTTCTACAGAACTGTGTCTGCATGCTAAGCAAAACTGGTAGAAGGAAGTGTTCCCGTTTTGCTGCAAGGTCTCAAGTTCTTGTTTAATGAGAAGAAGATTCTCCCAATGGTGTCTTGTTCAGTCTCCGAGTAGTGTCACAGTGGCAACTGCAGGGAGGAATATAATTATTGGTGAACTAATTTATTACAATAAATGAGTGACTGACACCATTTAATATGGTGGTGGATGCCACTTTTCAGAACTAATCTGTGAACTAGTTGTCCTATTGTTTGGTGACAACGGCTAACTGTATAACGTAGTTCTGTTGCATTATTCATTTATGCGGGGTAGTTCACTCCACGGAGATAGCTACATGCCCCCTGTTGGCTTTCTACTTGAACTGCATGTGCTATGTTCCCTTCACTGTGTATCAGATTTGAACAGTACCCACATTAACTCTATATATTTTTAAATTTTCTTCAGTGCTTTAGTTAGCAATATATTTTTGTTTTATTTACTTTAATTGGATGTGGTGGATACCTGCATGCCTTTGGATGATCCTCTAGCGAGGAGGTTCCAGATAATTTATTAAAGTTTAATAATTGGCTGGGTCAATTTTTATGAAGAGAAATGACTCATGACGAGCAATGTGAGTAAATGAAATGAAGAGACTAATGTGTCTCATGAAAGTAATCTTAATAACTAGTGACTTTTCTTTAACAAAAATTAATTGGATTAACAACTCCAACAGTGTAAAGGGTATGAAAGAATGGAAGGAAAGGGGAAGAGAAATAGGTTTTCGTTTCAAAAAGGATTACCTCATTTGATTCCGAAGTTTGGTAGGTAGAGAAGGAAAAATGAAGCAACTAAAATTCCTTCATTCCTATTTTTGTTTTTCTTCGAAATTTTTAAGGAAGATTTAAAAAGGAGACAAAATTTTGAGGCTTTGTTTACTTATGCATTCTTTTTATTATTATCTGTAAGGACTATAAGGATGTAATAGGATAGTATTTGTTATATATTTTTTTTCCTCCTTTCACTAATCAAGAAAAAGAACCATCCCTTCTTTTTCCCTTTAACCAAATCAAATAATGGAGCTATCTTTTCTTTCTCCTGTCTCCTTTTTCAACCAAATATAGTGTAACCTTTTTAAGTGACTAATTTGAGTTATATTAAAATTGTTTAAGTTGCTATCCAATAACTTTATAGGAATGAATTTGGTTTCATTTAGTGTATGAATCCCAATATTTACTTACTGTTTAAAATGTGCTTGTGAGAAGTATTTTAAACATGTGTGCTAAAATAACATTAATCATGAGAGCTCTATTTCTTTGCGTATGGAGTGTCTGATATGTGCTTGTTTTCCTTCAATGAATGTTTGTTCTCGTAATCAAATAGGGTAAATATAAAGTAAAAATGTAAACACATCAAAATGAAATCAGTACCTAAATTAATCCTCGAAAGAAACAATAGAGATGCTTACTATTTTAGTTCCTCAAAATTATAAATGTAAAACATTTTAGTAAATAGGACTAAAATAGCCTACATTTATAATTTTTCAGACAGTTAATATTTGAGCTTCATGAGGGAGAGAGATAGAGAGATTATGAGGGATATATATATATATAAGGAATGGATTGATAATTGAACAACAGAAGTGGTAACTGTCCAATAGTACCCATTGTACATGCATCAACAGTAACTTTTCTTAGCCTTGTCAAGTTAACTTGCACCCTATGCAAAAATTGTTAGCACATGAAGGCAAGCATACCACCTCCCAAGGACACCAAAACATAAAAAAGGGGAACAACCATCATCACATATTGGTATTACTACAAACTCTACTTTTTGGTGATTACTCTATTTCTTTGCACTTTCTGAAAAGTTCAATGCGGCTGTCTCCAAGCCTTAGAGAGTATGTGGCCTTCTTGTAATCGGCCCAAGTAAATGATCTGAAGAGAGAGGGCCTCTGGGGTGTAACCATAATTGGTGGAGCAACAATGCAAGCATGCAGTGGTGGAGCCCCAAAATATGCCATTGACATTCTTGATGTGTATGAGTTTGTCATAGCCCTATGTCTCACGCTCACAAATCTTCCATTTGTCATGACCTTAAGACCAACAACACCCACAAAATCAATCACTTCCCTTTTTTGTTCCAACTCTTGTACCAAAGTTCAATGCTAAGTTGTTATCATGCCTCTATTAATTAATTGTTCAACCCATCCCCAGTTCTAAGATTCATTGAATTCTCGTTCTTTCACACACCAAGACAAAATCAATTGCCATTAAACACCAAACTTGATAAATTTATATTTTCTGTTAAATTTTATTGATTTGATCATTAAATCAAATAATACCATCTTACTAATAATATTAACTAAATTTTACATAATTTAATAACAATGAACTACTTATATTTTACATAACATAATATATGATGCAAGAAAATATTAATTTTAAATCTTGTGAAATATCAATCACTTGTAATAAAAGATGTGACGATAAATTCACTTTAAATTTATATAAATTTCATAAATTTATTTTACTCCATAAACATTTTTAATATGAATTGATGACTTTAATAGTGCTGTGACCATATTAGTTTTGAAATAGTAAAATGATATTAAATTTGAGAGAAAAATAGGCGAATATCCCATTATAGGATAAAGCAAGAATCTTTTTTAAATCATTTGTTCCCAAAAAATTTAAGCCAACAGGGGAGTACAATTATCTGATTCATTCAGAACTGAAATGAACTTTTCTGAAATTCAATCCAAAGGCTGCAGTGAAAAAAAAAACAGTCATTCCCATGTCATTTCACTTCACTTCAGTTCCTATCAAAGTTGAGCTTTCTCAGATTTTTTCCCTCTTTCTGCGTAGCACACACAACAGGCCCCCCCACCCACCCCCTTTCAGCTACTTAGCAAAACGAATCAGGCTTGTCCATTGGTGTGGGGGTTTCAAAAATAATAATTTTTTCCATTTATTTTTTTTATCATGTTATTTATAATAATTTTACTTTTTTATTATATTCATTTCCCATTTCATGAAAAAGGGTATAAAAATATCATCACCCTCAACATAAAAATAAACCAAAACATTATAATATACAAGAAAAAACGTAATGATTATAATAAGAACAACATACATACCTCTAGTACATCACCCACGTTAACGTAGAAAGCTGAGGGGTCAGGGTTGACTGGGACCCAGACCCCATCTTGAAGAGAGATTTGAAGGCCACCCACATCGTTGGATCTAAGAATGGTTAAGATCTGAGGGTCAGAATGCTCTCCAAAGGCAACCTTGGTGTAGTTAAAGGGCATGTTGTTGTCCTTGCAATGTGCGTTAATAATAGGCATAGGTGGGTAGTGATTGAGCCTAAGGAGAGAGTCACTGTCGGCATCCCTTATGAATCTGCTGAAAACCCAAGTGTCGGGGACCCCCAGGCCCTCTGCAATTAACTCCAAAATCTCACATGCTAACTTCTTCACTGCCTCAGCGTAAGCACTTAAGGTAGAGCTGCCATGTGCCATCACACAGTAACATATGCTAAATATAACATTTGCTATGCTTCAAACCAAATGCAGTGCTCACAGAAGGAAACCACCTATGGCTAGTGGTGTTTTTCTCCACCAAATATTGACAATTAAGGAACATATAAACTATGACACAACACACTGTACTACTCCCATTTAGCTATTAGCTATTAGCTATTAGCTATAAGCTAGAGCTAGCTGTGAACACATACGTACATATACTCACCCTCTGCTAGTGCCCCTACTCAATCTGGCCCTTTTTCTGTCACACACTAATCGCTGCATCTGCTTCTGCTAATATCGTTTCTAACTTTGGATATTTTGTATGCAAATTAATTACTGCCACTCTTTTTGAAAATTCTTTCCTCGGTTTGTTACTTTATGTGTTTAAAAATACAAACATGCATTTAATACAGATTCATAACTATTTAAACACATCTAAATATATATATATATATATGTTTAATTTCACACACGCTTCTAGTTTTTACTGAATTAAACGTGAGATGTCAATTGAGTTTGTTATTTGCATCATTCAAAATTAACATTATATGTGACGTTGCATTTTTATATATATAAATATTCTAAACATATCTAAAAGAAGAGAGTTTTAATAACATAAACATTTTTCATGTCAATTTGATGATTCAATCTTTGTCCGAAAGACTTTCCTATCAAAATTCAAACATAGTAATTCTTGTGCTTGGACGATAAAAATAAAAAATTGAATTAATCACACTCTCCAATACATTTTTAACATACATTATAATTTATTAAAAATACAAAATATCATATAATTTGATGATTTTCTCTTTTGTTTAAATAAAAAAAATTAAAAGCATGAATTTAATTAAACGTAGCAGTTCAGACTGATGAGTGTTGACATTGACCAGAACTTTCAAGAGGATCTGACATACCGTCCCACCTCTTGGGACTACCTTTCCCCCCACCACAGTCCCATGTGCGACGTGGTTCGTTTCAAATGTCACGTTTCCTAAACTAATTTCTATGGTTCCCATGTCTTTCATTAGAAAAATGTTGGAATGTTTATATTTTAGAGTGATATAGAATGTATATCAAAACCAAAAGGGCAGTAGAAATATTCAAAACACAACCTTCAGGTCTTTGCAAAAATGTTTTATTTTTCAATTAGCGGTTATTTTCATAATTATACAAAAATGTTAAAATGATATTTTACTTTTTTACACTTTTCCCCTCAACTTGCAAACTAATGAACATGTGGAGGCTGCATGCTCAGTAATTCATTAAAAACGATTCAAGAATAATGATGTTTCTAATTCATATTCTTGGAAGCCTTTTTTTTAATCTTTAAATTTCATTATTTATTTTATCTCATACTCCTTTGTCGGACATTTTTTTTATATATGGTTTTTTTTTCAAAATTCAAAAAAATAAAATTTTACAAAATTACAAAATTTTTTAAAAAAAATTATCATCAGCAATTTTTGGCTTAAAAAATGTCATTGACAACTTTTGATATACGTTTTAAATATTTAATTATTTATTAAAAAATTATCATTGACAACTTTTGAAATTTTATCATTTTTTTACATTTTTTATTTTTAAATTTTTATACTGCATCAAAAATCACTAATGGCAATTTTTGAACTTTATATTTATGTAATTTCGCAAAAAAAAATCATATTTTTTTAATTTAAAAAAAACATATAAAAAAAGTAGCTTTTTATGAAAAGTATTGTTAAAATCTGAAGTGATAACACCGTTACTCTAGTTTTAATACTCAGTGTGTGTAGTGAACTTAATAAAACTGAACTTAATAAAACAATTGATGTGAAACTTATAAAGCTCGGTTCATGTATATGTAGTTTTCAATTAAAAAGTCAATGCATCATATATCATTGTTCTAAAACTATATTTTACTGTTCTTTAACCTAAGAAGTAACTAAGAGGGAAAATAAATAGTAATATAACATTTTTTAATTCAAGAAATATGATATTATTGTTCACATAACTACACTAACTTTTCTTACATTTGATGTTATATTTTACACCTGTTTTACTTAAAAATTACACCTATGAATGATTTTATTCTCACTCTTTTAAAATATTTTTTATATAAATAGTTTTTATTCGTTAATTAAATTAATATTAATACTTAAATAAAGAATAATAATAGAAACACTTTTACGTATTAATATATCTCTTTATTATTACATAGATCGTATATATACATGATCACACTTATGAAAGTAATAAAGTTTGGACGAAAGAGAGATTAATATACCCCCAAGTTGAACAGAAGTCAGTATTATCATTATCATTTGTATAGGTTGTCATAAAAAAGTATAAAGAATGTTTTTTGTATATTTAATGGAGATATCTTTTAATTTTAAAAATACGCACATGCAAAAAAATTAATTCAGTCTCATATATGATGTCAATTTCTTTAATGTTCAAATAATAAAATTAAAAAAATATTATTAACAGTTTTCCAGGCATTTCATTCCTAAGGTTATATACTATTCCGCAGATGCAAAAACAAATAGGGAGAAGATAAACTCGTAGCCTAATACAGATTGATCACTAGCAATGTACCATTGTTTAAAGAATGGTTGGCACAGTTCTATCCATTTCCTTGCAAAGGGAAAACGTGGAAACTTTCAAGCGTTTTTATTCTCTCTCCGTTCTTTGCTGGACGGTGAGATACAACTCATAGCTAGGAAGCTTGTTCCAACCTGGTATATATTTATGCATAAATATACGCTGGCAATAACTAACTAGCTTGGTCCGTGACAAAGAAATATCGTGTGTGTGTATATATATATATATATATATATATATATATATATATGTTCACTCGGCAACCTTCAATATGTTTACTCATTTTACTACTTGTATACTGCAGTTCTTGCCTGTCCTATGCCCACCCCCTCACAAAACATAAGCACCCACTATCTCCCTCTCTTTCTGTTTCCATTATTAAGATTCAGGGGCTTGTCTTGATCCAAATCATAATTTAAAGGATAAAATTTAGATGAATGCTCCTCTACAGATCTTCTTCAAACATCCTTGAAAAGGGCATATTTAAGTTTTTTTTTATACTGTAGAAATATTTATTTTTCATTTAAAGCTTTCTGTATAAAATGATTAAATTATTTAAATTACTAAAAATTAATATCATGTATAACATTGTATGTTATTATTTTTATTTCTCAGTTATTTTAAAAAATAACTAGTTAAACAATGAGAACACACCATTACTCAACCAATAAATCTTTCTTTTATGGTCCTACTTGTGGTATTTTTTATTCAAAATCTAACATTTCACCTCAATAATGACAGTCAAATCCAATTATTGAAATTTAAACAACAGTTACGAAGTTAAATATATATTTTAATTAAAAAATAACACTAACGGTGTACCCCCTCCGGTCTAAACTTTGTCATGGGACATTGTTAAATAGTGAATATATAAATGTTAATAGTAAACCAAGCATGCAATGCAATGCAATAAATGTTATTCGGACAGTGACAGATAGAAAAGTACTCATGAGTGCTCATACCTGAAGTCAGAGGATATACTTTTGGATATCTGAGCAATGGAGTGAGTGGTAGCATTGAGAAGAAGGTACTCAACCTCACCCACGTCTCCATTGAACCCTATGTTCTTGGAGCCATATGCAGGTGCAGCCAGTTTCTTCTGTGTCACCGGTTTCCCAAAGAAACTAAACCCTGCCTCTTCAGTTTTGGCTATAGTTTCATTGCTGATACCATGGTTGATCACCTTGAAGAAACCATACTCTTCACATGCTTTCACAATGAGTTTTGTTACCTCCGACCTTTCAGCCTTAAGGTCCACAGTGGGAAGCTCATTGGGTATGATCCTTTCGTTCTTGATTGGGTTTGGGGAAGCCAACACCATCTCTATTCCTATCAGGAATCACAGCAAAGAGTGGATGGGAAAAAATGAAAAAACTTGGGTTGGTTTTGAAGTGTTTTTTTCCCCTTATGTAATAGTATAGAATTTGGAGCTAGATATGTGTTGATACTGAGTTGGTGAATGGTGGGTTATATGAAGAACTTAAGAAAACTAGCGAGAGAGAGCAGTGGAGAAAAGTGTATGCGAAAGATGAAGAAGTGAAGCAATTAGTGTGAATTATGACTTCCAATGATGGGGTATTTATGCAGCAAGAATTGGAGAGAATCTACACGGAGGAAGGAGATTAAAATATTAAATAATAATAACAATAATAATAAAGAGGAGAAGGATATATAAGTTAAACTTTCTTTTTATTTTCTTTTTGTTGTTGAACGGGGGATTGGTGAATTTTGTACTTCAAAATGAAGTACAAGTAGAAAAATTCCCACATAAGAAGGTTGACTTTCTTCACACTATCTTGACTCACGCGAGCCTTTTCTCTTTAGTTAGTATTATCTGACTAATTCTTCTCTTTCATTTACCTTTATTATTGTCTTTCTGACTTACTTCACTTTCACTTGTCCTTCTTTTCCGCACCTACTTTCACGTGCTGCATGATTTTGTTTGCTCAATAAAAATAAATAAAAACATGTTTTGATTCTTTAATTTGATTTAATTTCTTAGATTCTAGTCTTTTATTTTTTATCAAGTTATTGATTTTAGTAATGATACGAACTGTTATCATTGATACAAGAAACAAAATAAATGAAAATAATTAAGAAGATTACAAAATAAAGTAAAACATTAAAATACTAATTTTACTAAAATTTTATCTGATTTCAAATTTTTAACGCATTCCTTATGATAAATTATCAAATTATTTAACACATAAAAAGCTCTCTTCCGTATGAATATAAAGGCAAATACAAAAAAATATGAAATAATCATGTTTCGGCAATAAACGTTTGTCTAATAATCGACCACCTGGAACCCAAATCTTAATGGATAAGAAATTGAATATAATCAAAAGAAAAGCAAAAATAAATTAATAAGTGTCTTCTAGAATCACGCACCTGTTTCTTCCATTCACATTAATTCGTTAACTTCTGTGCTTTTAGAAAACCATGGTGTTTTAGCATTAGCAAATCATCTACACATGCTTTAAATAGGTTTGCTGTTTATGGTCACCCTAATATATATACCCAGGCCAGCTTACAATCCCACATGTCCCTGTCAGGTCTTAGTGTAATTGAGGAGCGAGTACTCACACATCTTCAAAAGGGTCAGGGGAATACCATTTTCAAATTGAAATGTTACACATCATCTTGAAACAATTTAATAGTTTGTTTATACTTCGTTTTCTTCATTACCCTATTTGTACCCCAAATCTGTAAAGCAACTGCATCTTTGCAGATGCAAATATCTTAGCATTTATGATTGGTTCTTCCTCTTTGAATGTTTCTCTCATGGAATTGCCAATTGAGCGTAATGTGACCAGGTGATAGTGAAATATGTATGCAAAGGCCCCTTTTTCAAGTATTGTTAGCAGAGTCATTCTGTCAAAGCTCTTAATATTATCTGTTTAAGCTGATTTATTTTTTAGTCAAAATTTTAAATCAAAACACTTTAATAGAAATTGTTTTCTCAAAATTAATCTTTTCCGAGTACAAATATCATTCTCTTGTTAATGTCAATCTATCTACATTTCGTATGATTAGTGAAACAATTATAATTATGGAAGATAAGCAGTAGTCTTTTTTCCTTTTTCTTCCTTTGACTTATAGCATTGTTGGATTGTATACTAGTTATGTAATATATTAAGCATACTGATGCGATAATATAAAAGAAAAGTACATATGTGATATTGATTATTTGAATTACTTAAATTTAAACTGTATGTTATTTTTTTTATTTGTATGTACATATTCTAAAAATATATTCAAAATATAAAAAAAAAAAGGTATATTTCTTCTATATTACATCAAACATTTTCCTACGTACATAATACACATCGTATACAAGTGATAGATATATTAACTCATCGTATCCCGTAAGTGGAAAAGTTATTTTTAGGATTTAATTTTGGGCATGATCCCCCAGCTCACATATTATAAACAAATATACAATATTTTTAGGACATGTATCTGCTTATTTTTGAATAATCAAGAAACATCATTTTAAATATTATATTAGTTTGGTTGTTCAATCTCAAAAAGAAACATTAGTATGATTCATAGATAAAAGGTTCCATAAAAGAGTGTCACAATCTGTACTTAGAAAGAGAAGTTCGATGCACTGTTTACAAGTGAAATTAAGTATTAATTTCTTATTTTAAGAACAATATTAATGTCACGTATGTCTCTCTACGTGGATAAAATAAGTGTTTGCTCGATCAAATTTTGATATTTCAAAAGGTTTTTGAGGTGTACAGTTAGGTTTATCGAAGAGAACAATAATTGACCAACTGTTACATATAAAAATGCGCTGCAACAACATTATAAAACTAATTATATTAATTAGGAGCATCTAGTCTCCAACATAGACTAAACATACCATACCTTTTGCAAATTTTATTCTAATTTGTTGGTTGACTGTTTAAGAGGTAGGTTTGCTTTTTTCCATGCAGTAGATTATCCCATTCTTCAATGCTAAATGCTATTCGGTTTGGAATACTACAAAACAAAATTGGCATGAGCTTCATACTATTTCCCCAGCATTGGAGAGAAAGTTCGACCTAGCTTCGTGTTCCATGTTCAGGTTAGTGGGTCTGAACTTGGAACTAGATTTAATGCTTATCTTATTTTACGAGTCCGTGTCACATTCTAGTTCCAATTTTCAACTTTCAATTCAACGCCCCACGATTCTTTTTCATAAAGAAATGGTTTATTTTATTTCACTATGGTTGAGTAGGTCTTTTCCCAAGTACATTGCTATTTTGTTAGGGTCTTCCTCCTAGATTATGCTTAAATAATAGGGGTCCAGATGGATCCTCCTTACCCGTCAATTTTTAATACATGCAATGAAGAGTTTTCATTTTTATATGTTTATATAATATTTTTTCTTTTTATATAATATCACTAATCATATTTTTTTAGTTCACTTTATTCTTTTCATATTCCTTACGTAATGAGAATATACCCGTGAATATGTAATACTATATTTTCGTATAAATTATCATTTCACACACATAATTGATCTTCAAAAGGTAAGGATTTACACGAGATGAATAAGAATGTTTTTTCCTATTCAAATTTAACCTGATTAATGCCTAATAATACTGAGATAGAACCGTGTTAATTAAATAATATATCTTAATACTATGCACAGCTAAGTCATATAACTAATTAAGTATAAAATTAAAATTAATATATATTTTAAATAAATAGTATTAATATAAATATAATATTATACGCATAAAAATATTGTTTATCAAATCTTAAAGTATTATTACCAAAAAATAATTACTTAAAGAATAATTTTTTTTGAAAGAAACAGAATATTGGATTAAAAAATCCCACTATAACTTAAACACGTTCTTAAAATATGTCAAAACTGGGTTTGAAAACTTTAACTTCAAAAAATTAATATCAAATCGATGTGAACTGATGGGACAGACTTAGTCTTATATAACCCATTAAAAGAAAGAGAATACACACAATACAAAAGAAAAAATGTATACAGAATTCCTCCCATTTTTTCGTCTTTTGTAATGCCAATATCTTCTAACTTATTTTTGAAATATAAAAAATACTGATAAATTGATATTTTAATATGAAATTAAGAGTTGGAGTAAAAAAATGATAAAATTTAATATTTTTTATGGGTAAATTTTGAGTTTAAAAAAAAAAGAGATTTGAGAAGTTTCAAGCAAGGAAAAATAATAATAAAACTTGTTTAAAAAAATTATTTTGTTCATATAATTTAAACCGTTTATTATTAAACACATTAGTCAATAAAAATGATGATTTAATGGACCGCTAGTAAGCAAAATATTCGTGGTCCAACTTAGGTTATATGTATGATATAATTTTATGCTCATATGTTTGGCTTTCTAATTATCCATGCATGGTGGAAATTACAGATGCATGTATCTGATGCTAGTTTTGACTATGATGTACATATAAAAAAGGGGAACAGGCTCGAACCCTGACCCATTAGTTATTTTAAAATTTTGATTTCGAAATACATTACGGTTGGAAGGCTCATTAATTAACAATAATATTGTTTGGGTGTGGAGATGACCATCCTAGCTATTTTTGGCGTAATAAGAGCCTTTTTTGAATTAAAAATATCAATATCAATTAGTTGGTTGACAGTTGGAATTTTAAATTTAATTAATAAGTACTGTTAATAGTATCGTTCTTTATTATCTCACCTATTTATGAATCAATGTAATGATAATAAATAACAATTTATTAAAATATTAGAGTACATTCCCCTAACCCTCCCCCTCTCCTCTTTATTCATGTTCCGTACAGTTTTCTTATGAAGGACCATGCAACAATCAATCTGAGAGAAATGATATTTTACTGGATCAAACACATTTTCTAGATATAAACTATTCTTTTTTATTTGCTATATGGTTTTTTAAAATCTAATGCTGTATACCCATTTTTTTTTCTGCTTCGGGGATTGGGCCCTTACTGTTTGAAAGTTGAAACTGATATAGAAAGTTGCTTGGGCCCGTTAGGAATTTGTTTTAAGTTTAGGAAACACTCTTCCTCGGATAAAAAAAAAGAGAAAAGAAAGAAAATCACTCTTCCTTTGTTCATTCAACTTTTAATCTTTTACGGCAATTTTTTTTAATTTTTATTCGGAGTGATAATAAACGGGGTGCATTTAAATAAGTGAATTAAGTACTTATCAATATATTCTTATTACTATAGTTTATAAGGTTATAAATTTCTGACTTAATTATAGTTTTGGTCTTATGTGTGATTTTGGTATTCATAATTTTAAGCTGACATTTAGTTCTTTTAATTTTTCAAATGCTCAGATTAAAATTTTCATTCTAAAATCAAGACTTTTATTATATTTTATACATTATTTTTATATTTTAATTTAAATATTATATATATATATATTACTTATTGTATAAATTAATCAAATATCATAATTTTAATAATAAATATAATTTTAGAGTGGAAAACTTAGTTCGCACATTTGAAAAATTAGAAAAATTAAATTATGCAAATAAAACTAAGGAGATCAAAATTGTACATATGTTGAAGTACAGGACTAAAAATTAAACTAAGCCTAAATTTGTGATTTTCAAGAAATTACATTAATATTTTGAAACATCTTTTGGCTTGCTCATCTAAATTGTACTCGTGTGTTAAATGGTCGTGATTAATTTCGATCCTTTCACTAAAGAAGTATGCATAGGAATTGTTTGTGCTAGTTTCAAAGTTGCCCAACATCTTTTCAAACGTTTTCTGAATTCATCCCCAGAAAATTTTAACCCGGTGTATATTACTCCTTACTAATACAAAGATATAATATTAATTCCTAAAAATCACAAATTTTGGTCATATTAGTCCTCAACTATGGAAATTATAGTCTTCGAGAAAAACTAATAAGACGGACATTTGTGATTTTTGAGGAAATGAGATTTTTACATGAAAACCATGGTTAGATGTGTATATGGAGAGATAGACAACAGGGGCAGTAAAATGAAACTTTAATAGTATCGGGTCACACCTCAAACCTGTCTCAAGATTTTGTCTTCTTTAGGCAGCAGTGACCTATCTTGACAGCCATCTCACAGCATGTGTTCGGATGAAAAAGTCTAAGAACAAAACTAACCATAGAGCGTGTACAGAAGTGGAAGCTGTGCTTGTGATTGAATTTGAATTTTCTGATTGCAGCATAGGACAAGTTGCAGAACACTTATACAACAGTTCTATTATTTTTTAAAAACTGTTCAATATTCAATCGAAATTGAGCCATTGAAATTGCAATTATATGCACAGCTCAATTTTTCGTTGAACAAACTAAACAGAATACCGTTACTTCATATCCTTATGAATACTATATTGAATTTGATTTCAAAGTTTGCAAGGCTCCACCAAATCAATCGCTGAGTTTCATACAGCTGAGGTAAAGATTGTGTTCACAAGGACTTTGAAATGAAGCATATATTCAGACCAAGATGAGCCATTTGGAAATTTAATTTCAATGTCAAAACCTAGTTGACTTTACATAGAATAAAACAACAAGCTACCATTTTTTATAGATTTTTGCAACAACCACGGTAGTACAACAATTATATATGAGCTAGACTAAACTAAGCATTAGTCGCAGACGGGACTTCAAATTATTCCTTTTGGCGTTTGGGCAGGGGAAATGACACTCTTTGATGGGGATTCTGCTGCACGTCCATCTTCTCTTCCTGAGATGGGTTTGGATTGGTAGCTTCTTCATCCTCTGTTTCTTCTATAGGTTCTGGGGGCCTTTTGTTTGGCATTGCAAACTGGTAGTTGGGACTGATTAATGTGTCCTGATCATGTGGAAGTGGGATATCAGGTCCTGCTATAGTCTTTGGCAATGGTATCTTGTTGCGGTTTTGAGCCAATTCGAGAAGCACCTGCCAAGTGATTACATTCAACATATTATCTTCCAGGATGATATATTATTGCTTATAGTAACAGTGCAGATGCTATTCGATCACCAAAGAGACAGAGATCCTTTCACGCAAGCAAATATTATCTCTATTGCAGCTCATGATATGGTAGCTAATGAAATGGATCTCAGCAACAGATTTCTACTTTCCAGATAATTTTCAATTAAGTGATAGTCCCACCCCACCAAATGGCAACCTAAGCCATAATTCCCAAAAAACTGATAATTAAAAATTAACACAAGATTACATGCTGCAAGGTAGCAAAAGAACTGCAGTACAGAGAAGTGGGGACATAGAAAGCTAGAGCTCACATGAGAGAAAAGAAGACAAGAATAATTTGCACGTAATTTATTATGTAATCCAGTATGATAATTTAAAAACAAATTAATTGTTTAAAACTATGTAGCACTGGTGCTAGTACCATGGTTGTCGAGCCTGTGATTTAACTCAGAATAGTACATGTTTGCAATTCTAGGTAAAGAAAATCAGTTAACCCTCTTGAAAACTTGTTTTTGCACAAATTTGGGTAGACTTGAGTAAATTTCTAGTTTCACATAAACTCAGTCAGAGTTGCAGTCTACAACATACCCAATAAGCTGCCCCAAAACTTCTGCAAAAAGACTGTGTTTTAGATGCTAGGGCCTTCATTCTAATTTTCCATCATGCATAAGCTGCTCCAGCCTCAAACGAACACTCTCTCACTCTGACAGATCACAAGCTGCCCAGTGCAAACAAAGTTCCTCCATGAAGCAAAATTTCAGTTTGAACCCAGTTCCAGCAACTTCTCCATCTCACAGGCTCACAGAAACTTTCCACTGTCAGGCTCCATCTCCATCTCTACTTTATCATTCTTCCTTAATTATTGTGCAACTCTGTTATTGTTGAATAACGTTTTCAACATTCTAGAAGATTGGAACACACCCACAGTCCCATACCCACTTGGTGCTTTATTTTACCATACAAAATTACAAATGAACTTGCAAGCTTCATTTGTATTAGTTTAAGTAAACTCTTAAGAGCACACGAGTATAGCTATAGCCTAAGAACACTCCACAAGTTTACATATATTCTCAAATTTGACAACCTTGATTAGTACCTTAACTGCATCTGATACAACCTAATTGAACAATTTCAACTCCTTTGGTGGGTTTTACAAATTGCAGTATAGTCTATCTTAGATAAATACAAGCCAAACCTCTCTCATAAACTTCCGCAAGTTGCTTCAAACTATCAACAACAACCAATCATATCACCACTACATGTTTTGTTTTTTTAACTACAAACAAGGTAGAAAATAGAAGCATTATGAAAAAGGCACTGCCTGGAGCAATTTATATCAGAAAAATTACAACCAACCTAAATTCAATAATAAAGAACATAAAACGCAATTAATTTTCCTTTTTTTTTTCAGGACACAAAACAAAACCTAACCATAGGATAAAAAAAAGTCGAATTATTAATATTACCTCACGAGGGGGTGGTTGCGAGAAGCTGAAGTTAACCTTCGATTGAATAGCCAGCTTAACATCGTCACAGTCAATTGCAGACTTTCCCGCATGCTCTGAATACACTTGCGCATCCGTTAACACATCAACGACGTAGCGATACCACAGTTCGAGAAACTTATGTAGAACGCGAGGTTCGTAGTCGTCCACGCCCATTGATTTCAACAAAGACTTGACGATCTTCGCATCCCTTGGCATCGATAACTCGTCATCTTTATCTGCCATGACTGTCCACTGCAAACAAAAGCGTTTATTATTGATTGGAAACGGTTGGAAGAATTTGCAACAGTGAATTATATAGTGTGAAGATGAAGAGGGATAAATTCAGAGCGTACCTGTAAAGTGGCCGGAGTTGCCGTCAACGGTGTTAATTCAAAACCAACAGTGCGACGGAGAAGATGGTGTTTCGGATTGATAGAGGCAAGGGCACAAACACTCTTGCTTTTTATATGGGCCAGGGCCCACGATTATAATGTACTGTAATAGGCCCAAATCAGTCAGCCCTTGTTGACCAAAAAAGAAATCAGCCCTCGATTAGTTGAAAGAAAAAGGCTTCAATTCATTGACCCAATTTAATAATTAATAATTTAATATGATGTAAGATACCCTGGATCAATATGATGTCATTCATACAATTTTTTTTTTATTATTAAATTCGGGGCACAAAATAAACGGTTATAATTTTTTTTTCATAAACTTAACGTAAATTTTCCATTAAATTTGATTTACCAACAATAAAACAAGGTCCCTTGACATTATTAAGGTCAACGTATGTAACATATTTGCAACGTTTAAGTAAGTGATACTACTACATATTTAGTATCTTAACCCAAGGTCCAAGCCAAATCTGCGAAATAATGTATAAAAAACTAAATTACAAATTTAAAAAAAGGTGAAGTTACTGAACCGTACTATCCAAACTCCAACACACTACATGGATAAAGCTCTCGCTCTCAGTGACGATAATCAGAAGACGCCAGTGAAGGAAGCGTTAGCGTGTTAAGTAGATTTCGCTGAATGAAGTGAAGTGGAAGTGGAGATTACGTGCACACTCAATGTTCTGTTTGTTCGTTATGGCTCGAAGAGTTGGTTTTGTTTAGCACTTGGCATTTTTTGCGTTTACGATGACGTTGGTCGGACTTTTCGTTGCCGCCACGAAGCTCGCCGGAGCTCTGGTGACTCTCACCGTAGCCGCCAACGCCTTTTCATTCTCTCGTTTCCGCAACAAAAACCTTCGCCCTTTCCGTTCTCCCATTGACGAGTCCTCTCCCACTGTCGCACTCTTCAACGTCACAGGTAATTTTCTTACAAAATACAATTAGATTCTTTCTCTTTTGTTTCCCATGTTCAAAAAAGCTATCTTTTTCTCTTTTTAATGCAGAAGGAGAAGATGGGTTTTTCTTTGGTTTGGCGACAGCGCCAGCACATGTTGAGGATAGGCTTGACGATGCTTGGATTCAATTTGCTGAACAGAAGAGTGGTGAAGGTGATGGTGAAGAGGGGAAGCAGAGGGTGGATGCTGTGATGGGTTCTGCTGGTGGCGACGGTGGGTCCCACCAGGGTGCGTCATCACAAGTTAACAAGGGGAAGAAGCCTCTTAAGGTTGCGATGGAGGCCATGATTAGAGGCTTTGAGAAGTACATGGAAGTAGAAGGCCAAGAAGGAGAAGAAGAAACCCGTCCTAATGTAACTGCGTGGCATAATGTTCCTTACCCGTAAGCCCTCACATTTTTTATTTTTTTCTTTTAATGTTAATTACTGTTGTTTGGGATGGAAGGTTTTACATTTCTTGTAAATATTCTTTTTTGTAATTTTTAGAATGAAAGGAATAAAATCACGAAACCAAACCTTCCAATAATTTGTTTTTTATTGTTATAAAGTTCACATTATACAAGTCTCTTTATTCAAAATTGAAAATTTTACCCTCCTGTTCCTTTCACTCCTACAACCCACTGTAGTTTTGTAGCAAAATAGAATATTGAAAAATTCCTGGTTTTCAGGGAGGAGAGGTTAAGGTTTTGGTCTGAACCTGATACAGAACTAAAATTGGCCAAGGATACTGGTGTTACTGTTTTCCGAATGGGAATAGATTGGTCAAGAATCATGCCAGTGGAGCCAGTCAACAACCTTAAAGAATCTGTAAGTTGGATGCTGACCTTTCATAATGATGATGAGTTATAGACTTATAGTGCCATTCATCTATAAGCTTTAGTCAATAGCTTCTGTAATGGAGCATATATATATATATATATATATATATATATATATTGAATTTTGGACGGTTTATGTTGAACCTAATCCACCAATTCAACTATAAGTAAGTCATCTATCATTCTTTCTTAGGTTAACTATGCTGCGTTGGAGCGTTATAAGTGGCTCATCAATAGGGTTCGATCAAATGGAATGAAGGTGATGCTCACTCTTTTTCATCACTCACTACCACCCTGGGCTGGTGAGTATGGAGGTTGGAAGCTGGAAAAGACAGTGGATTATTTCATGGACTTTACCAGGTTAATTTTTCCTTCAGTGGTTGTTGTGTGTGTGCCATTTTTACTCTACCTGCTGTGGATGACTCTCAAGTCAGATTAACTGCTGCCATGTGCCAGCCTATCTATAGTTGTAAATGAATGAAGTGTATACATTATGTCTGATAAATATTTATTTTCTTGATTGTGTTGGATGCTTGTGGTTTACTTGAGGACATTTATAGTAGTAACAAAATAAAGTTCTTTCATATGTCAATCTTTTTCCCATCATCATGGCATTTTGCCAAACAGTAGTCCAATTATGGGACTGGATCAATTACTGCAAAATTACATCTTTATCTCGTGTTTGTTCTCTTGAAGACTAGTATATTAACCGGTCATGGCATACCCGTTTCCATTATGTTAAGCTTTTACAAATATATGTCAACAAACAAATACTTCATTCAATGATTTAAATAGAATAATATTGTTTAAAACAGGATTGACCTAAATAGGTTGAGTTCGATGAATATTTCCATAGGATAACAGCAATTTGTTAGTGCAGATTAAGCAATGTGAAGTTTAAATCACACAAGATAGTGAAGCAAGATGTCAGGCTTAAATAGTGGGTGCTGAACCAAATATGCCAAGTAGACTATGGAAATCTTTAGGTTCATTCTAAACAAATTAATGGAACTACATGTTCATGGCTCTGGCCCCCATTACACTTTTTGAAGCTAAAATGTGGTATTTTTTTTGCTTGTCAAAAGAACAATTAAGCAATGCTAAATACTAAGAAAATCATTTAAAGTTAAAAAAAAAAACTGATAGATCAGTGATGAAATGCCTTCCTTTGTGAATTCTCCATCTTGACTCCATTATGATACTATAGTTTCTGATTTTTCTGTCACATTTAACCATCCTTCTGTCTCTTTACCGATGGATACTAACTCATGTGTGAGTATTTTAAAAATACATTTGGGAAAGTATAGAGGTTGTAATTCTTCCTTCTATATATGATTTTCCTTTTCATCCTTGTCTCAAATTAATGTCTAGGCCTATGGAGTTACTCATATTATGATAGTATATTCATGAAATTATTTCTCATATCCTCCCATTCCATGCAGGCTTGTTGTAAACAGTGTATCAGATTTAGTAGACTATTGGGTAACTTTTAATGAGCCCCATGTATTCTGCATGCTAACTTATTGTGCTGGAGCTTGGCCTGGTGGTCACCCTGATATGCTTGAGGCTGCTACTTCTGCACTTCCAACTGGTGTTTTCCAGCAGGCCATGCATTGGATGTCTGTTGCACACTCAAAGGCATATGACTACATCCATGAACTAAGGTGCTTATTTCTCAAAGAAGCTTCAGAATTTGTTGCAATTTTATGTTGGGCATATAGATCATCAGAGCTTTACCAAAATATATATATCATCAGGGACTTGCTCATAGAACTTGAAAATATTTGTACATTCAACAACGTTTTTATAATAATATCTGTCCTCTTTTCCGAGGGTTATCTTTTCTAGGTTTTGGTTAACGGTAAGCTTCAGTCTACATCCATTCTCTGTTTGAGTTTTTGGCTGCTGTATCTTTCTAGCATAACCAATTCTTTCATGCCTTCTCCTCCCTTCACATTTAGTTGGCTAAACATTTAGAGCTTATCACTTTACTTAGTTTCTTTTCTAATTTTATGTTGGTAATTGTCTGAACTATAATAACTTTTTGGCAGTAACTCATTAAATCCAATAGTCGGTGTAGCACATCATGTGTCATTTATGCGACCCTATGGTCTGTTTGATATTGCTGCTGTTTCCCTGGCTAATTCATTGACTCTCTTCCCATACATTGATGGAATATCTGACAAGCTGGACTTTATAGGCATAAACTACTACGGACAGGTTAGCTTTAATAATCTTGATAGTTCACCATCCATGATATCTTGCATATACTCACATGACAATTCTGACATTTATTTCAGGAAGTGGTTTCGGGTGCAGGCCTGAAGCTGGTGGAAAACGATGAGTACAGTGAATCTGGTCGTGGGGTATATCCCGATGGCTTATACCGCATGTTGCTTCAGTTCCATGAAAGATATAAACATCTAAACATCCCCTTCATCATTACTGAAAACGGGGTTTCAGATGAGACAGATTTGATCCGCCGTCCATATCTCTTGGAGCATGTGCTTGCTGTTTATGCTGCCATGACCATGGTTTTGACTATGAATTAATTTTTATCTGCTTAAAATTAAGCTATTCCTTTGTAAACACCAATTTTGTGTTAAACCTTCTTGTAATTGTTCTACAGGGTGTGCCTGTGCTTGGTTATCTGTTCTGGACTATTTCTGATAATTGGGAGTGGGCTGATGGATATGGTCCCAAGTTTGGGCTTGTTGCAGTTGACCGGGCAAATAATCTTGCACGGATCCCTCGCCCTTCATACCATCTATTTTCTAAAGTTTGAACTCCCTCTCTGCACTTGTTTTCCCATGACATTTGTTTTCTTTAATTTTACGTGACACTTCCTATGGGTCTTGGTTGCAGATTGTGACAAGTGGTAAAGTTACTCGTGAAGATCGTGACAGAGCATGGGATGAACTCCAAAGAGCTGCCAAAGAGAAGAAAACAAGGCCATTTTATCGTGCTGTAGATAAACGTCGTTTAATGTATGCAGGTAATTATTTACTCATAATTTCCCCTGGATTTTTAACATTTTGTTTTTAGCTATATCAGCAATGTGCAAAATCGATGATGATATTCCTAGTTCCTATTTTAACTAGAATTCTAAACATTCTTCAATGAATTTAGTTCTGAATGATTCCTTATTGAAGCCCTGTGTGACTGTGTCAGAATTCTATTTTGGGTACCCTATGGATGGAGCAATACTTGACTGCTACGTCTGCTGCAGTCAAGCACTGCCGCTTGCTTTAAGAATGGAATGACTTCCTTTCTATACAACACAACACATTTCCCCCTTTTCAACACAACCAGCACCATTGATGGAATTTTAGCCAAAAACAGTTCCAGGATCTTGTAAGTTAAATGACAATGCAGGGAAAACGTTGTCATCCTCCACATATGAGGATAGAGTTTCAGATGCTTTTACTGTCTTTCAAACCTTTAGAGTGAAGCTTAGTAAGATCTTACCTCCTTGTCAATACAACTGATGTCTTAGCACTGTGTAAACATATTACAAGAAAAATCATTAGTTAGTGCCTTGGACAGCAGTTGCATAGTTAGTAGTACTTTAGTCAAGACCAACCCACAGAATATGAATTCCATTTTTAAGGTCTTTGAATTAAAAGTTCAGAGAGGCTCTGCAAATATTGTCTTTATTATTTTGAGATTAGCTTTAAACCTCAAGTAGATTGCATAAGCTTAAAACTAAGAAAGCCAATCCTGCCCCCTCAATACTGTTTCTAGTCCAAGCAGAACTTATAGAAGTCGTTTGGCTTCTGATTCCTGACCCGAGTGCCTCCCACTGAATTTGGCAGGGGCCAGACCAGGCAAATATACAACACCGTGTGTCAAGGTATACATGGAATAAATTAAAAATGAAAAAAAGAAAATGCTGGGCAAAGTTACCCCATTTGAAACATTTAAAAGATATTTGCAATGGTATGAACATGGTCAGACTTTTTCTTGTCGTGGTTATATGGATTAATGTCTAATAAGTTTTCTTACTTCTCATAACAATTAACAGGTGGACTTGATGAACCTATACAGCGACCTTATATTGAACGAGATTGGCGGTTTGGTCATTATCAGATGGATGGACCCCAAGATCCTTTGAGCCGCTTCTCAAGATTCATTATTCGACCATTCTCCTTTAGAAGGACAACGAAACCACAAAAGAAGAATGCCAAATTAATTCTTCAGCCTCTTGAAACTTAGCAATTGATAACTTGAAATTTTCAATTTCAACAAGAAGATATATTATTAATGTCTCACTGGAAGTATTATGATACCTTCTCGTTGTAAAGCTTATTTATCTCGTTTTTACCAAAATTTCAACGTGTTAAGATTATCACTCCCTGTTAGTAGAATTCCATGCATTGCACCCTGCACATGCACATAGAATGCAAGTCGTTGATTTGTTTTTCGCAGGAACCATGATCTCTTCTTTGCTACGACGTAAGATAAATTAATAGAATGCTCAAATTCACTATAGATGTTCTAAAATGTGCAGCCAAAACGCCAAATGTAAGTTTTCTAATATTAATTAATAAAAAATTACTAAAATAAATTTGAAATAACTAATTATAAATGTAAAGTAAGATGGATAAAACTTAAAAAGATTATGCAACATACAACCCAGAAGCTAAGCTGACTGCAGAACAATTAAACAATCCAATGGAAAAACAAACCCAAAAATCTAAGTTCGAAAAATATGCATAAAAAGCTTTAAAATAAGTTAAAAAGAGTTGTAAGTTATTCTTATAAACTAAAATAAGATTTTAGATTCCGTCAATGTCACTTTTAAAAGAATGTGTTTTTCTTATATATAAAAAAGAATGTATATGATATCAACGTGAAATTAAAGGTGTTAATTTGGGTCCATTTGGGCTACCCATTATGAACCAACAAAATTTTAAATGAAACTGGGCTGGATCAAATTTAATTATGAATTAAATATCTTTTAATCACTGGAATCCCACAAAATTGACGACAACCCAGTAAAGTAAGCTTAGTACACGTGCATAAATATCTTTTGACAAAAAATAAGTACACAAATGTCTTTTACCTTTTATAATAACAATTAAAAAGTAATAATTTTTTAACAGGAAACGACTAGGACTGATTAGTCAACGCATTGATTAAATATTTCATATACTTTAAATTATATGTTTCTCAAGATAATACATACATTTTAAAAAATTAATTTTTAATGCATACTTCAAGATATATAACAAGAAATAAATAAATAATAATATTTTATTAAACGTTATAACATTTAAAGTTATTGTGTGATTTTCAATACATTAGATCATGTAAATTTTATAAAAAAACATAATTATTTATAAGTTCTTATATGTTATTAGATACATGTTGAAAAAACTGCTAAAACTTAGTTATTATGAACAAATAATTTTAGCCCAAATATTTTTATTAAAAAGCTAGAATATAATTGTGAATTAATTAAACTATTAGACAATATACTAATAAGTAAAATTAATAATTAAAAGATATTCTCTTCAAGTGATTTTTTTAAAGTAAATTAAAACTTCCCAAATGACAAATAATTTAAAAGAGATGAAGTAACAATATAAATATTTATGTCCCGTTTTAATGCATCCATTAATAATTAATTTAATCTATTAACTCAAATTTTACCTGACAAATAATAGAAATACTTAACCTTTGGAAAAACTTTCCTGAAGAATTTAGCTAAAAAAACAAGTGAATCAATCCAACGATACAGTGAAATTTTGGTTAGAATAAACTTGTCTATCCACTCATTTCATAAAGATAAGTGTAAAAAAGTTAATGTGATATGATATAATTGATCGAGAAAGGGCCCCTCACGATGACTCAGAAAGGGTAGTGACAAATAAACTTAGCAGTTCTGATAAAATAATAGTTCATCATCGTAGTGCCCACTTATTCTAGTGGATTTTTGTGTGGGTACGGCCGATTCCAAGTGTATATTACCCATTTCTGACAATTCCAAGAGATCTTATTCACTATGGTTACTTAGCACTATAAAAGTGAGACTAATCAATACCATGTTTGGGCCAAAGTTGTCAATTTTAAGTGAAGATATGGGTGTTATTCTGTGTCTCCAGCTCCTATGTTTCTTTCTTTTAACTAGTTCCTTCATTAAAGCATCTGATATAAATGTGGGAACCTATGAATCTGATAGAATAACTAACCTTCCTGGCCAACCTTCAAGCCCTTCAGTTTCACACTTTTCAGGTTACATCACTGTCAATGAAGACTATGGGAGGGCCCTTTTCTACTGGTTCTTTGAAGCTCAATCTGAACCGTCCAAGAAGCCTCTCCTTCTGTGGCTCAATGGAGGTATGTGATTAGTTATTATCAAAGCTTGTCATATGTCAAGCACCATCTCATATTATTATATAGTTTTTATTATATGATTTTATTAGTTCCCTGTAAGATTATAATGATCCAGTTATGCTTATAATATTTCTTTTTATCTTTCTGGGTTTGCTTCTAAAGGACCTGGATGCTCCTCCATTGGGTATGGTGCAGCTGTTGAGGTTGGACCTCTTATAGTCAACAAAAATGGGGAAGGGTTGCATTTCAACCCCTACTCTTGGAATCAAGGTTTATATATTGTTTCATTCTTTAGACTATTTAGTGTGTTGTTTGACTATCTCTTGTTACATACATCCAATTATTACTATGCTACTAAGTATTGCCCAAAGAACAAAAATAAGGGGTGAAAAAAATCAATGCTTTATTTTGCTCACTTGAAAATTTTACACCCCTTGCAGAGGCAAATTTGCTATTTGTGGAGTCCCCAGTTGGAGTTGGATTTTCTTACACTAACACATCTTCTGATCTTACCAGATTAGAGGATAATTTTGTGGGTGAGTTTCTTTTTTCCCTTTACAGAAGATATTTTTTCTGATTTTCTTGATTAACTAAACTCTCCAAATTTTGACTGACTACTTGAATTAGCCGAGGATGCTTACAATTTCTTGGTGAATTGGCTTCAAAGATTCCCACAGTTCAAATCCCGGGACTTTTATATTTCAGGAGAAAGCTATGCTGGTTAGTGTTTAACTTCACTATGAATATGATATCTCTGTCACGTACACTACTATTATAACAACATTTTCCTTGTCCGTATTTTCAAGGCCACTATATCCCTCAGCTTGCAGAGTTAGTCTTTGATCGAAACCAAGACAGAACCAAATACCCCTTTATTAATCTTAAAGGTTTTATTGTAAGTAAATCCTCCGTAACCAAACAAATATATCTGTCACGTACACTCCTATATATAATATTATATATATTTATATCTCCAGGCTGGGAACCCAGAAACTGATGATTACTATGACTATAAAGGCCTGTTGGAATATGCATGGAGCCACGCAGTAATATCTGACCAACAATACGATAAAACAAAGCAAGTATGTGATTTTAAAAAATCGGAATGGTCTAAAGAATGCAATCAGGCCATGAATCTAGTCTTTCAAGATTACTCAGAAATTGATATATACAACATTTATGCCCCTTCATGTCGTCTAAACAACACAGCCTCAAAAGCTGATAATAGTAACAGTAACGGCCCTGAATCATTTACAAAGGTATATATATTAAATGTCACAAATTTATAGATTCTAAATATATAATTCTTGTTCAACACTCTTACGTTAAAGGAAAATTTGCTTCTTGCAGGTGAGAAATGATTATAGAAAAAAGAGAATGAGAATTTTTGGGGGCTATGACCCTTGTTATTCCACATATGCAGAAGAATATTTCAATAGGGTAGATGTTAAGTCATCTTTTCATGCAGATACTAAAAGAGGCACTAACGTAACATGGAAGGTTTGCAAGTAAGCACTAGAATAGTAGAGTTTGTTCCCTTCATTGATCTTCTCTAAGTTTTACTGCTGAATATTAAATATTAATTTCTGTCTCATTTCTTAGTGATTCCATATTGCGGACTTACAACTTCTCTGTTTTTTCGATCCTACCTATCTACACCAAACTCGTCAAGGGTGGCCTTAAGATATGGATTTACAGGTATTTCTTAGCTGTATTCTCTGTTTTCCTCTTTTCTTTGCCTTTAAAAAAGCAATAATGTTAAATTACTACTAAAGAAAGGGAAAAAAAAAAGATTATTACGCAGTCACTAGATATATTAACAGAGAATTGTGTACAACTCACTCCCAATAATTAGCTTTATATATAAACAATGTGCAATGAATGAATGACAGGAGGGAATTATTTGCTTTCGGTGAAAGGGTCACGTACTCATGAGTCATGTGTGTTGTATGCAGGGATTACACTAGACGCCCTTTATCGTGATACCCTTTTTCGAATAATCATTTTAATATCATGACTCGTATTAATTAGTAATTAATATGTATGTTTGTGGTACAGTGGAGATGCTGATGGCAGAGTACCAGTGATAGGAACACGATATTGCGTTGAGGCTCTTGGATTACCTCTCCAATCTAGTTGGCAAACTTGGTACCATGATAATCAGGTTGGCACCCAATATTAACCTCTTCGATTTTCCACAATTTGATGAGTTATATCTTATGATTTTAATTTGTATGTTAATAAAATTAACAATGTAGGTTGGAGGAAGGATAGTTGAATATGAAGGGTTGACATATGTTACTGTGAGAGGAGCTGGTCACTTGGTGCCACTCAACAAACCCAGTGAGGCTCTCTCACTTATTCATTCTTTCCTAACAGGCGAGCATCTTCCTAGTCGTGGATAATCAATCACCAGTGCTATGTTCTTGGGCCACCATTTTGGGTTAGCAATTTTTCTAAATATAAATAACTAAAACCCACTGCGTCAATATTAATGAATGAAAAACAATGCAAAAAATCTGTGTCCATGAAATGGACTAGTTTGTTTCTCATACATATCGTTGTTTAGCAATATTTACAATAATATAGTAAAATGCGTTGATCTTATGATATATCCCACGAATAAATATCAGTCTCATATTTGTAGGTATATCAATCTTCATTGTATATATTTGTGGTAACGAGTATTTGTGAATTGTGAATATCCATTATCTTATTAAAAATATAAAGAAAACTCGAGAAATAGCATTCATGGAAAAATCTTAGAAATATTCTATTAGAAGTTGATGAGATTAAACTTCATTTGTTGAATATTTTAATTAAATGTTTATTCAATATTTTTAAAAAATAATAAATTGTGTCATAAATTTAATTATAAAATTTATTAAAATAAATTTAAAAAAACTTATTTTTATAAGTTATACTGAGAAGTTTATTGAAATAAGTTTTAAAAAAATTATAAAAATCATAAGCTATTTTCATAAAGTATACCTGACCCCTTTTAAACAAACTCTTAATTAGTTAAATATTAAATCAAGGTTAAAACAAGAACAAAGACTTGTTTGCTTTATAATTGAAAAACGAATTCTGAGATTATTTATGTACATACATATTTCAATTATATTTAATAATTTAAAATTAATTTTGTTAAAATCAATTGTACTTAACCTTAAATCAAACGACCACTAAAAACTTTAATGAAAATCATATTTGTGTATAATTTTTGTCACATTTGATTCTAATTTTTTTGGCAAAGCGATTTTCTCACTTAATTATATAGTTTCCATAGTCAAGTTAAAAGTTGCTCCTCTTATAAAGTTCTAATATAACTGCTAATGAAGAAAACATTATATTAAGTTGTTAACGCTTAAGAAGCTTAGCAGCATTAATTTGCTGTTTCGAATCTCCATTTTGTGATAAAGCGAGATGCATTTTTAGGCCCTTTACCTTTGTCAGAGAAATACATATAAAGCGAGATTGATTGAACCACAAGCTTTACCTTGTGATTAACGTATCGTCTCCATCATATGTAAATGTTCCTTTCAAACACAAACACGATTCTAAAGTCTAGATGATGACCCTTTCCCCCGTCTCACGTATGCCATGCAAAAGAAAGGCACGCACTTCTATTCCAATATGATTCCGTGAAGAATTTGGAAAGAGACAATAAGCACTTATTGGCATATTCTGAACGAAACAAACATTGCATAGCATATTCTCTTTCTGGTACCTCATCTTTCCCAGAGGTCCACTAATTTTGTGAAACTACGACCAATAAATCATTAAAAAAATATATACAAGTACATCAATTAATTAATTCCATCAGCGTAATCAGACCCTGATGAATAATCCATCATATGCAAATAGATTTTTTTTTCATTTATTATTATTGTTATTTTATTTATGAGCTAATTACAATTTGATCATCCTCCACCACTTCTCTTCCTTTGCTTCTTCCTTTCCTTCTCTCCCTGCCTTGAACAATGACACTGGAAAAGACATAGACAAGCCAACTATAGACTTGAAGGTAATCACAGGTCCTTCTGGTTGACCCTTAACATAAATCTCATTCAAGGTGAACCAAACCAAAAAGTCCCTTGCTTTGACCCCAGTGAGATTCTTGATCTTGTTTGGCTCAACATAAGCAGTGACCACTGAATCATAGCATACAAGAATGTTATCAAACCTGTGCTCTCTCTTCTTCTGGAGCTTCAGCCAAACAAAGCCTATGTCCTTGACATACCCACATTCTTCAATGTCTTGTATGTTTAGTAACCCATCTGGTAGACCAATTTCTGCCAGCAACAAAGAGAATTTTTCCCTGCAAACTTGGTCTCCATAATACACCTCTGCTTTGGACTTCAATTCCTCTGTTACCAGAGGCATTGCTTGTGCTTTGTGCATGGTATCAAGCGAAGGTGGTGATGTTTTTGAAAGACCTCTATTTAAACTGTGAGAGAAGTTGTATTTCAATATTAAATAGAACGGGTGGTGCTTATAGAAGCTTATAAATAATGGGTCTATATAGTGGTTATTGAAGGAGCTTGGGCATAAAAAAGTGGATATATAAATTTTGAGGCCTTCACCACTTTGGCCTAAATCAAGTTTTTTAATACCTGAAATATGCGACCAATACGATCGCGTATTAGGTGTCACTAATATTTTATGATAAGACCAAACAGTTTACGCTTCATTTCTTACCGAACGGTCTTGAGATATATGGGCCGAGGAATATTTCTAAATTCGCATATCTTCTTAATAATAGTTTTATAATTTCTTAATACAAAATATATTTTTATCCTTTTTATATTTTTTAAGTTTTTTAATATTTTATTTTTATTAATGATTTTTTTGTTAAGTATTTAAACTATTATTTAAATTATAAATATCTTGTAATTTGGGGGTATGTAAACAGTTAATCCATTTTAACAGACCCAAATTCATTGGTTTTTTGGGATGATTAAATATCTTTTTACTTTTTTTTGTGCTATTGTTTCACCCAAAACATCACCTGCTATCTACAAAAATAAAATAAAATAAAATTGCTTTATATGTATTTCTCTGAAATGCCAAACTCGGAAGTTTGTTATTGATTTGTAAGAAAGATAAAAAGGAAGACGTTTAAAAAGTAAATACTAAAAAAATAAGCAAAATAGAAAGAATATATAAATAGAATATTAAAAAAAATTCAATTCAATGGTTTAATTTATGCTCTTATGTATCTTCTCATGTTAGTGAAGAACTTCAAATTACGTGATTTTTAGAAAATAACTATTGATTGGTTTATTTTAATCAAATATGTAAATTTAATATGAAAATTTAGACTTTTATCTTAATTTAGTCGTCTTACAAGAATAATATAACGTCATGTTTAAATTATTATTTGTTTAAAACATAGTTAAAAATGGAACAAAAATTAAAACCGTGTCTTAAATAAAATATAATATTAGTAAATTGTTAAGACTAAATTAATGCTTTTGATTTATATTCAATTTAATTGTTATAAAAATATGAAAAGCTAGGAGCACTTAGTTGTTGTAGTTAAAGTGACGTGAGAAATCACAGATTAAAAGGTTATCATAGCTAAATACACCCTTCTTTATTATTATTATTATTATTATTATTATTATTATTATTTCATAATATGTTTACATTATTTTTATACTTGCTATTGTTTTTATATAAAATTATTCACAAGTTGCAACTCCAGAATTTAAGGTGTATTGAATAATCATGTTTTAAGTTTGTTTTGATAAATTTCATCATATAATTTATTAAGTTGAGTTAAAATTTGTAAATTAATTTTATAAATTAATTAAACATTGATTGAAGCACTTAAATAGTAAAATTAGTTTAAATAAATTTCGTATGAGTTATTTTAATCACATCATTTAATGAATGCTTCCTTGCATCGGAATTCTAGCACGCCCATGTCTCCAAAGTTGAAGCTGAGTACAATCCAAGTACAATATTGTATTTTTCTTATTTCATGTGGACAAGAAAAGAAAAATACAATATTGTGTTTCTCAATTAAACTGGGAAACTTTATTTAAGATTAATACCTTATATTTTTAATGCTCATAACCTTCTTATTTAAGATTAAAAATAATAAAATAACATTATAGAATATTTATATTTGATATTCTAATTATTTTTTTACAAAATATAACAATATTTCATTACAATAATAATAAAAATAATCTAGAATATTTGCGTTTAATAAAAATGTAATTATATTTCATATTTTTTTGTTGCAGTAATTATATTTAGGAAAAAAATTATTACTAGAAGTTGGGCCCAGGCCCATAGATACGAGAAAAGACAATATTCCCAACGTTGCCTTTATAAATATGACACAAATGTGACACAACAACGCACTTTTCTATTTGTCGCACTTTCTCACACGAAGTTTCGTTGCCGGGCCTTCCTTATTGGCTGTCATTGATGAAAGGCCTTTATCACTGCCACTAAGATGTGATCTTTCATGTAATCTTGGCTCCAATCAATCATTTTTGTAAACTGGCTCTCAGGCCTTTATCACTGCTACGTCTCTTCCTCTTATTTTTAATCTTGTTCTTTGAAAATTTGTTTTTCATCGATTTTGCGTGTTTAAAGTTTAAAACGGGTTTCTTGTTTTGAGGCAATTTATCACTTCTACTACGCCTCTTCTTTTCATTCTTGATTATTCAAGAAGCTGTTGAACAGGGTATACAAATGCGTTTGAAGTTTAGGACCGGGTTTCTTGTTTTGAGGCAAATAAATTCTCCCTCGATTTTTAATCTTGTTCTTTGAATTTTTTTTTTTGATTAATTTCAAGTGATTTAAAACCGGATTTCTTGTCTTGAGTCAATTTATCACTGCTACGTCCCGTCTTTTCATTCTTGATTATTCAAGAACTCGTCGAACAGGGTATACAAACCCAATAAGGTTGATAACGTGCTTCTTTGAAATGAATTTTCGTTCATCATAAAGAAGATGTCATTGTTGACCCTATGTCCGAATGCAGATTCATCATAAAAAAGATGGTATTGTTGACCCTATGTCCGAATGCAGCATGAATCGTGTTCCTTATTCATTATATATAATTTGGATGGTTTGATGGCCCTAGGGCCTCTTTGAAATGAGTTTAAATTCATCGTATGAAAAAAAGATGTTTCGTTGAGCCTACTGACCCTATGTCGGAATCATGCAGGATGAATCATGTTACTTATTCATTATCCATAATCTGGATGGTTTGATGACCCTAAGGTCTCTTTGAAAATAGTTTTCATTCATTATCTGAGAAAAGATGTTATTGTTGACCCTAGTGACGGATTGCGGGATGAAATCGTATTTCCAATAAATGTCATTGATGAATTTAATAGAGTCTGTTGTGTTCGTCATTCGTGATTTTAAACCCATGATGATCCTAAATTTAACTCCAACATGAATTTTTGTTCTTAGTGGGAAAATTGGATGGTATGCACCTGATGGAATTGCCAAATTGCAGTATGACTTTATTGTTCATGGTGTAAATTTAGGATGGTACGACGGAGCCCTACTGACCCTGTAGCAAGATAAATTCTTTCTTTTTAGCAGAATTTTAATTGATTTCATGTGACCAATGTCTAAAACGTGTTTCCAGTTTTTGAGGCAATTTATGCTTTTTCTTTCGTAATGAGAATTCTCTGAACCCAGATTTTGGAATGTATTTTAGATTATTGCTAGATATATTGTTGGGTTACAATTTTTCTCATTCTTGATTGTTCCAGAAAGTGCTGACTTGTCTAATAGGGTACAGTGCCCTAGAAGTTTGATCTTGTTTGTGTAAAAGGAATAATGAAGATGCTGCTGTGAGATGAGTTTTTTAATCGTCTGACAAACAATGCTATTTTTGAACCTTAATGACAATAAATTGGACTGCAAGATCAAATACTTGTTCCAAGAGATGCCTACTTGACCCTATATATAAAACTTGGATGGTATGATACTCTAAATGCAATTTCAATATGATTTTTTTGTTCACAGTGTGAAAATTGTGATGGCATGAACCTAAATGGAGTTGTCCAATGGCAGTTTGAATTTTTCATCCACAGTACTATTCTGAAATGATATGTTGGAGCCTTAATGACCCTACTGCAAGATAAATTCTTTTTATTAAAATTTTAAATGCATGTTGGATGCCTTGATGATCATTAAAGGAAAGTTAAGTGTGAAATCTTATTCATGATGCAAAACCTGAGTGCTATGCGGCAGAAATTTCAAAGATGAATTTTATTGGTACTGTAAAACTGAGACATGCACCCTAAATAGAACTGCAATATAAATTCATTATTCATTGTGGACATAATATTATGTTTGATCCTAAATGCATTTCCAATATAAAACCTTGATGGTATCCAAAATGCAATTCCAATATGAATTTGCATTCTAGATTTTTGTCCAAGTTAAGTATATTTAACATAGCCCTATGAAATTTCGTGTTATAAAACGTGCACGGTTTGATGACACTAAATGCAATTCCAATATGAATCTTTATTCTTAGCGGGAAATTTGGGATGGTATGTACCTAAATGGAATTGCCAAATTGCAGTGAGTTTTTATTCGTAGTGTAAATTTGGGATGGTATGTTGTACCCTTAATGACCTAATGCAAGATAAATTCTCTTTTACCAAATGTTAAATGCCGATAGATGCCTTGATGATCATTAAAGGAATTTTCTGTGTGAAATCTTATTTATGATGTAAAACCTGAATGCTATGCCGGAGCTATTTCAAAATGAACTGTTAAACTAAACTTGGGGATGATATGCAGCTTATAAAGAACTGCAACGTGAATTCTTTGTGGCATGATTGACCCTAAAATGATCCTTGATTGGGTAGGAGATGGTTCTTTTGTTCAGTGGTTTTGTATTGAAGTGGGGATGCCTGGAAGACTCTCAAGAAAACTTGGATACAGATTCTTTATTGATGATAACAATCTGGATGATATTGATCCTCTGTTGCTCCAAATGCATTCTTCAAGTTCACAATGCAAATTTGAGGCAATTGCCACATTTGGTGGATATATGATTATTTGGTTTATGATAACTTTAAAGTGAACCAAGTGTGGTTTCTGGACATTATTGCAGTTTCATTACACCTAAAAAATTTATTCACTTATTGTTCTACCTGAAGGTTTTCATAATACAGCTTCTGCATACAAGTCAAGGTGCAGATGCTGAGAATGTGTGGTGTGGCAGATAATTGTAGTGATGCTTATGATATCCCTTCCTTCAATGTCCTATCACAAGAGCAATTGCTGTCGCTGAAGGAGAATTTAATTAGATTTCCACAGTAGTGCCCAATAAATATTTCTGTGAATGCTTCTATATGCTTATTATGGATATTACATTGCTTATTTAAATAAAAAATACCTTCAAACTT